GAATTTTATTGTCACTACAAGAAACCAAGCACGTTTCTCAAAGAAATGGAAATCAACGATGTAAATGTGGTCAATAATCTGGTACTCGTTCTCGGTATCGGGGTGCTGATGCATCTTCTAACGGCCAGCGCACTTTGGTGTAAGCTCAATAGAAGATGAATCAAATATGATCCTATTAAATACAGTATTTGTGGTATTGCGGATAGTCCCTTTGAGAAACGACTTAAAAGTTCTGAGACGTTTTTCCCACGGGAAATACGAAAATACAAATTCATTCCAAGAGAGAAAATTTTAAAACTCTGAAAAAATTGAAAGATCGTATTAGTAAAGTCATTATTTCTTTAGACCTTAATCTCGCTGGATACGAGATGTTCTACGGCGTTTCGAGAATGTTTTCCATTGAATCGAAGAAGACTGGGCGTTATTATTGAATCTTGTAAAACTACTAGTTGCAGAGGGATTTTTTAAAGTACTTTATTTAGCACACACACACAACACACACAAAATAAAGTACTAGTCCGAATTATTTTGTATTAATCGAGACAAGACGCTGTAATTGCTAGCAATTTCGTAAGCGGTTCGTAAAAAGCGGTGATATTAAAATGGCAAGGCATTTATATAAACAAAATATAAGGTTTATATAAAACAGAATATCTGTATGTATGTAAGCCTAAGTATAAGGCCAGATATACATGATACAGCGCGCATAGAACGTCGTTATTATATAATTTAGAATTATATTTAAAATCCTAAACAACACACCAAACACACACACAATTTGATATACTTATTCTAGTTTAATGTTTAGTGTTTATTTAATTTACGATTTTAGTATTATATGAATATATGTGAAATTACCTAAATACATGTGAAGGTTTTATTAATTAAATATTTCGCTCTCTATTTGCATACAATACCTTATCATAGAAAGTACGATCTTTTTTTTTTTAAATAATATAACGACCATATTTTATAGATAAATGAAAAATATAAAGTGAAAATAAATCTATTGCATCGATTTTTCTAAAAGAAATTGGTTCTTTTTTTTTAGACTGAATTTTTATTAGTCATTCTTTAAGAATGTACAAATCGTTAAATAAATTAATTTACTGGTATTTTCTTTATTTCACGTTATCATTTTTTACATTTAATTACATGTTTTCCCCAATCCTTACGCAAAATAATACAATCCTATTGTCAATTAATAGGCCTACAAATTTATATATGGGGGAATACATATTTATATATGATTTATAATCCTAACATTAACTACTATTTTATAAACAAATTGTAGAGAATAAAGGGCAATAGAAGTCGGACGCAGAAGACGTCGCGTAATTAAAAACACCACTAATAAGTGACAAAAACCATTTATTCGAACAAGGCTTTTTTGATCAATGCTATACACAATAATATACACACACAATAATAAATCGTTTTGGCTTTTGTGGATTGTCTGCTTTTTTTTATTCCTTTGACCAATATTTTATTAATTAACTTTCTGTTTTGACATTGACTGACCAGCATATTAAGAACCGGTTTTAATTACTATTAATATTGTTTGGGATGCAGTACTTTGTAATCGTGGTGAGTTCCTTTATCCTCGGGATGATTTATTATAATTTTAGTTTTTTTTTGGAAATTAGTTTTCACAATTTATTATTTCTGATATTTTCAATTTTTCTGTTTTTCTTCTTTCTTTTTTATCCATTTAGTTTTATCTATTATTTATTCTGTATCTTAATTATCACGACGTGAAGAAGCTCACCGTTGATTGAATAATTGTATTGATTAGTTCTATTAATTAGTTTGTTCTCTGAAGAGAGAGCTAAAAAATTAATCGAAACATGTAAGTGTTATTATAATAAAAGAGCGTTATTCGAATAAAGCGTTATTCGGTTTTTGTCACTTATTAGTGGTGTTTTCAATTGCGCGACGTTTTCTGCGCCCGACTCCTATTGCCCTTTATTCTCTTCAATTTGTTTTTGAATTATAAGGAGTCTTAATTGATTTTATTATTATAAGATCTACTATTTTATGTTTTGCAGTATCAATGAATATATAATCAAGAGAGAAAGATGAAGAAATATAAGTATCTTATAATAATTATGAAATTATCAATTACGAATAATTGACGAATAATTGAAGAAAATTTCACGTAAGAAATGAGACATATGTATGAAGAGAGAAGAAATATTTGAAAATATATAAAATTACAGTATTACAACTTTATTTCTTACCAATTCATTGATTTATCGCAGATTAGATAATATCTTATTTAAAAAATATGATCTTGGAATCAGATACATTGCAACTTTCTTAATAAAGTAGTATTCAGATACTGTCATCCTTCAGTAAATACTGCAGCTGATTAAAACATTACAATTTACTACAAAAATATTATATATCTAAGATTACGGTTAATTTTTCAAGATTAATTACATTTTATAGAGAAATGTACAATATATTTTGTATCAGAATAATAATAAGCAATAATAATAAGTTAAAACTCTTGTTATAAAAATAATCAAAACAAGGAAAGGCAAATAAGAGTCAACCTTACAATAAATATCAATGATTAGCTATTTCAACATGAACATATAATTAATATCCTTAATATTACTAAAACTTAGTACTAAAAGAAGGCTCAATCCAAGAGAAACTAGTAACGAGAATTTGATAATCCTTTCTTTATATTTATAGTTTTTAATTAGTTTATAAGTTTTAGTACTAAGGATATTAATTATATGTTCATATTGAAATAGCTAATCATTGATATTTATTGTAAGGTTGACTCTTATTTGCCTTTCCTCGTTTTGATTATTTGTATTGGAAGCTTCACATTTGCGCAACGAAAATTAGTAAAAATAAACTTTTGCAATTTGTTTCAAAATTTTTTTTATTTACGACATTATACGATCTCTTCTTACAGTTTACAATAGAATTTATTTTTAGTATGAGAATTTGAACAGTCATAACAAACTGACAAATTTACTTCCTTAATCTCATACATATTATACTTTGTATTTCATTTTAAACTTAATCAGAATAGGTTAATGTGCTAAAATACGAATACGCTTATCATTTTAAATTACACTTAGAAGAGCATACTTAAATAGCATCGTCTATAGAAAGATAAGATTATTTTTATGATAATAATAACAGTAATAACAATAATTCCAGTCTTATTTTTGCATATTAATAATTCTTGAGAATATTTTATGTTGTTCGTTATACTTTCTTATACATGTGCCATAAACATAGGTACCATACATAAAAATGATATTGCCATCACAGTAATTTCTAAGGAAGGTAATACTGTATTTTTTACTAATTTGCTTTTTCCCTCTTGTAACTTTAAGTATTAAAACAAAATTAAAAAAGACGACTAGAAATAAAATTAATGAAAGACTCAATAATATATATAATCTTTCATCTGTTGATTACACATGGAGATAAAGTAACTTACATTGAATTTATTCTACAGAATATTGTATGTATATGAAAGTGTATGTTTAGTACCTCTATGTTATATGTATATATAAAATTATGTACATTTTATTTTTTATAGATCATCTGTATTTTTTATTTGTGTATATATATATTTTATATAATCGGAACAAATATCTTAAACAATACAAAATTGTCAATATTTTTTAAATCTTGATTAATCATATACGCGTATCATGTCTGTATTTAGTGGCTTGTATCGTAACCACATTATGTAATATTATTTTTATGAAGATTTTATTTTATTTTTCTTAAAACTTAGCAATTTTTACTAAATTAAATGATTTATATCAATTAATGAAAATAAATATTTTCGATGGAAATTTTCAAGTAGCTCATATCTTAAAGTGTTTATGATAATTGATAAATTTTTTTAATATTCTATGACGTTGATCTTAATGAACACAAAACTTGTAATACAGTTATTACAATGACATATATTCTTAAAACGAAATAAAACTAATACACGTAGCTAATCGTCAAAATAACATAACTATGACTTTTTTTTATATAAAAAATATTTAAATAAATCACTTTAAAAAATATACATGATGATTTATTCCTCCTTTATTTTTGCAAGTTCTTCTAATTTATAAATATAACGATCATCTACATATGGTATACGAAAAATATAGAACGTTTCAATTTATAGATATTATTCAGTAAGATAAAAGTATTTGATAATGAAAAGTTGAGAAATATATCAACATATAATTACAATTTTCAACGATATCAACGAAAAGTATCGTAACAAAACTATTAATGTTCCCATTTTTATAAGAAAAAATTTACACTTACAATTTAATTGAAATTTTCATCTAGAAAAATAAAGAAATACAAAAAAAAGATTTAAAAAGACGTTAATTTTAAAAGCTCAGTTTAATATAAAATTAATTCATCACAAAATATTTCTATATTTTAATGAAATTTCTAATGTTCCTTAAACAATTTTTTAAAATAATTAAAAAAAGTTTTATGTTACAATTTTCTTCTAAAAGAAAGAGAAAACAAAGAGAAAAATAAGTCTGAGAGTTTAAATGGTCTTTTCTTTTTTCTTTTATATATGCGATATATATATATATTTAATCAGTCTCAGATAAAAATCATCATAAAACATTTGTTCATAACAGCAATATCAACAATACTTTCCATTGTTACCGTTAAATACATACATTTGTATACCATGTATTTTTATCCATAAACACTAATAAAATAGTCCATATTATGCACGATATAGAATGTATTAGACATAATTACACAAGTACAATACTGTAAACTAATAATTTAATATAAATGAAATTTATTTATATTTATAATCTTCATCGTTGGAAACATTGGTTAACTAAAACAAAAATTATTGAACGTAAGGAGAAAGTAAAATTTTTAACCTGTCGATCAGTCCGAAATTGAGTAATGAAGTTGAAGATGATAATCGTAATTATAAAATATAATTTCTACTATTTACAACAGAAGATTTTTATCTCCCCTTTCTTAATCATTTTAACTCCTTTTTCTTAATAATTATTTACATTAATTTGTTACAACTCTATTCAATCGTAATTTTTTAAATGTTTCACTTTTCTTTGCGCTTCTGTTTCACCTTCAGTGCCATAAAGATGAGATCGGTGCTTCATTTCAGTTGCAACAGACTTTAATAAACCAACAGAGAAATAGAAAAGAGTAAACGTAAGAATAACGTAATAAAAGAAAGAAAGAGATAATCAAATAAAGAAAACAAGCCTCGTCATTCAAAAATATTACATTATAATATTAATTTTTAAACAAACTCACCAGACGAGAACGCACTCTTTTTGGCATTTCTTCTTGTAAACTGTAGATGTCATTACGCTTTAAAGTAAGGTGAGAATTATCCGGGAACGATACCTAAATAAAAGGAAATGTAAATCGTAATTAATTATGAAGTATAATCAATAAAGAATAAGTTAATCTTTATATATTAAAATATTGAAAAATTACTTACAGTAAATATTAATTGATGATTTGTACCTTCGAAGATGCCATTATATAATTTACCGTCTGTCCAGTTCACCTTTACTGCGGCTCCAATTGGAGGTGGAGCATCTTTATAGTTCTAAATAAGTATAAAATATATGTATAAAGAATGTCGCGAATGAGAGAGATATTGCATGTTTTAAAACAGACTATAATATAATATAATTTTTGATCTTTAAAGAAATTGGCAGGAATTGATTGTGCAACTATATAGAAACTATAGATTAAACTAATAAGAAGGCAATGTTACAACTTACAACTACATCTTCAGGGTATAAATCATCACTGAAACTGTTATCGTTATCAAATGTAACCATATAAAAAAGGATATCCTCGATAGCTTCTATTTTGGCTTGATAATATCGTTTGTTACGATGCTTTGCCCAAACAGTTTCTCCTTGGCGTATCTGCGGGACCTTTTCTTTGCCTTCATCATGTTCATTACATGTTACCTAAATGTCAAAACATTGACGTTAATATCTAAAAACTGATATAATCGTGCTTTACGATTTAGAGAATACTGTACCTGAAATTCCTGTGAAGTATACACCGGTATGTTAAATATAGCTCCTGCCACGAGACCACAAGACGGATGAAACACATTATTGCACTGATTACATTTCAGACACGCTCCACTGTCTTGACTGCAAAAACAACATTTTTTCCATAATGAGTCCGTGATGATCGTTAATACATTGATAGGATCTTTATTTATGGCATCTTTGAATGTGGCTCCTGGTACCATAAGTGTACATAAGATATGCGCCCATCTGCTATCACTGGTACGCTTCAATGGACCACCATACATTGGGCACATACAACACATCTGTATTTCGTAATAACAAAGCAGAAATTAGACAAGATATAATGTTTAGTGAGCGGTAAAAATAGAAAAAAATAGATTTGTTAAACACGCACTGCATCGTTTTTACCAGCTTGACACCTGTCGCAGGCCCAATTTTGGGTATCGGTAGGTAATATAGTTATACCATAACAAGATGCATGAACAGTTACATGACATTCTCTACATCGTAAAAGTTTGTTATTCTCTGATCTCACAGTTTGTTCCATAGAGTTTGCTGCGAAAATATCGGCTGGCACCTGATGTAATTTATTTTTCAATAAGTACCTTCGCAATTTTTGTGATAAATATTCAAAAGATTATTACTGAAAATAGTTATTAATTGTATTTTCTTACCCATATTGGTGTATTTTCAGGTAACGTAGTTGATTTGCAATATTTCCAATCAGGTGACATCATTCTATTTCCATTTGTACATGAGGCAAAAGTAGCGCATATTGCACAATGGGACACTTGAGCGCTCCAATAATCATTGAATGCTTTCAGTAGATCATTGTTTGGTTTATTCGGATAAATCATATCAGAAATGTGCCCTGGTATTACTGATGTTGGCCGAGAACTACAAAATTGTGGCATATCGGCAGATTGTGTTGATGTTGGTTGAGAACTACAAAATTGTGGCATATCGGCAGATTGTGTTGATGTAGACTGTTCTTTTGTGGGTTCTATCACCAAAGCAACAGTTGGGGTAGCAACAGCCATAGTAGAAATCGCAGGAGTAACACTTATAGGAGTATCGGTCACAGAAGTAACATTTGCAATGGCTGTTGCAACATTTGTAACAGCTGTTGCAACATTTGCAATAATTGGAGAAGCAGTGTTTACAGAAACAACAGCCGAAGAAGCCACATTTAGGGGTATAATAGGTTTTGGAGCGATAGTAAATGGTTTTCTCCTTGTTGTAGCTTTTTTCTCTTTGGATTTCTTTCTTAATATAGATGCGTTATGTTTTGATTTAGATTTTATATGTGAATGAATATCTGTTTGCTTTTGTAAGTTTTGCATTTGTGTTTTATTGTCAGATGTATTTAAATATTCATCTTTGTGTAACACATTGTTTTGCGTATTTGTAATTCGTGATAGCATATCTGAATCGGTCGTATTTATCAGCATATTAGAATTAACTTCAATTTCGGAAGTATTCACAGTGCTAGCTTGAAAAGTATTCGAAGATGCATTATCATTTGACTTATTATTTTTCACCGACGTTTTCCTACGTGATGTTTCTTTTCGTGGCCTTTGACGCGTTGATACATTCTTAGTAATTTTTGGAATAATCGGTTTTGAACTGTTTTGAACTGCAGGTGCAGCTGTAGGTAAAAAAATTGTTGATACATCAGTGTTTTTATTTTGCGTACACATACTTATAGGTATCCATATAGGTTGATTGCCGTTTTCTACCAAAGTACACTTTGGAAGTTGCGACATTGCATTAGATATCGGATTCGTCTGTGGTAATACGGATGATGAATTTACAATAGGAATATTTGATTTTTTTAATACGACAGCTTGAGATGTTTTAGAAGCATTTGGATATACGTTGTGCAAAGGTGATTCTGTTATTTTCTTGGAACTGTTGCTCGTATAAGGTGACTGCCCCATAGTTATTTTTATCTTTGTGTTAGGCTGGTTAAATGGATGCGCAACATTGGAAAACGTGGGGCTGCAATTAGTATTAGGCACCTGAGTAATAGCAGTATCAGATGGAAGCCTTGACTGAAGAACTGAAAATTCTAACGATGGTGGAGCATTTTGGATAATGCTATCGTTTGTGGTATACTGCCTTTCCGTTTCATTTTGTAAAACTGGAGGTGTAGGGAAAGCTAGTAAAATAATAAGTTTCTTTTGTGTTTGTTCCTTATAAATCTTTGACATAGGCTGCTGATTTTCAGTTTGCAATTTGGGAGATGTAATCAATGACGGTAGATTCAAACGAGGCGCTTTTAACAAGTTTTTGTGAGTATTACTTTTTATTATTCCTCTTTCTGTAAACATACCCATATTTTTGTCGTTTACACCTGTAAACATTTGTTCTATTTGAGCAGCTGTGGTTCTCGTACTTTCGTTCTGACATGCAGAATTTATATTCTGTTCATTAGCAAAACAGTTTTCAAAATTTTTATTTGGAAATGTCATTGTTGAAGAATCACTGCTATCAGTTGTCAGTGAAGTAATTATGTTGCTTTCCGTAGCACTCATTAATTGTGCCATGTCTGTTTCGTCGTTAAACGAACTTTTTATTTCATCAGTATTAGTTATATTCATGGTTTTCTTATTAAGCTCATTACTAAGTGAAACACTTAGCTGCATTAAATTATATTTTTCTTGATTATTACATATATTATTTACAGTATATATGTTAAGATCATCTAATGATTTAGCTTCAGTTTGTACAGTAGCATCTGAAACGTTTGAAGTTAATGCATCGAAAAGCGGTACGTTATCGCGTTTGCGTCTACCTTTGGACACACGTTTCGGTTTCAATTTCTTCTGCTCGTTATTATGTTTTGTATACTTCCTTTTCTTTTTGGTATTTTTTTCAACAACTGAAGAATTAAAACCAGCTGAGGTATAGTTGTTTATTTTTAGAGGATCTGTAGATTGATCTTTTATAATAATTTCATCATTATAATTTCCTTGAGGTACAGGAAATTCTTCTATATTTTCCTGAGATATGTATTCAAAGGAAGATATATCATCGTCAGTTTTTATTTCGGCTTTAATTACATTCTGCACATTAATTCTACTTGCTTCCTTCTTGGATTTTGATTCAATTTTTGGTTTTTTTTCTTTATCTCCACCTTGTTTTTTCTTTCTTTTTTTGCTTTTCTTGCGATTGTAACCATCATCATAGACACTTACTTCATCAATTTCTAAGATAAAAAGTATACGATTAGTAAAAATTTGCGAATCGCTATGTGTGAAATATGTAGTAAAAATTATAATAATAATAAAAACATAAATGCAATTATTTTACCTATTTCTCCTGCTTTTAACCATATATCTTCGAGAACTTCTAACTGTTGTTCATCTGGTGGTTCTTCTAATTCATCAAATTCAATATCTTGTAAGGCCTTTTTAACATCCGGTGGAATATCTTCACGATTCACAAGTTCTTCCATATTAATACCAGGATTCGTGCGTATAATATTCTTTTTCTTATGAATCATATGTCGCTTATTTTTTGGTGTTGCACTCAAATAGTCTTGTGGTAATTCACCATTGCTACTATTACTACATAACAGATCCATTTGTGACGGCATTGGTGCAGCAGTCTGCCTAGGATCTTCAGGATGAGGACCAATATCCTCACCACGTAGCCACAATTGATACCTGTATAATCACAGGATTAGTTATAGATAGTAAATGTTTAAAAGTAAATGTATTAAATTTAGCAATATTATAAAATTAAACGATTTTTAAATAATTTAGATACATGCCTATCTGGTTGAAAACGTTTCACGAAGGTATCCATAGATATTTTGACCATATCTTTACTGCAGGTACATTGCGTAGCTCTCTTTCCATATTCTACCCATCTAGGTGCTGCAAAATTAGTGGATTCGGCGCAATTAAATCCATGATTAAAACCAGCATGATAACCATATGGAAATGTAATCATTATTTCTCCAGCTTCCTGCGTTATCTGCAAGAATAAAAATATAAAAGATAAATATAAAATTAATCAGAAAGAAATATAAAATTAATCAGCGTAAGTATAAAACAAACTTACTTTGTTACATGGAATAGAATACTGTCTTAATATTTGAGGAGACATAAGAGACATTTTGTGGCGCAAGAAAGCTTGGCAATTCTGATAGCTAGTTGGAAAAAAACCGCTAGCTAGTCTCTCTAATCTACGTCCATGTTCCGGAGGTATAGCGTACCATGTTTTCGGCGCACCAAAATGTAAATAATTTATGGAATAAAGATCCATATCTTCTGTGTGCCAAGCAAATGTAGTTTTCCACATTCCAAAATACAGATAAGCTGTATTAACACCATCGATGGATATTCCATAATCTTTATTAACGTAATCCAGAATCGTTCCTAAATGATTAATGTTCCACTCTTTCACATCTGGATCCGTTAAAGAACCAGATACATCTGCGCCATATATCGGCGCCACATACGTTATATTTTTCCAGTATTTCCTCTCCAAGTCTTCATAGTCAAAATGACGAGGAGTAGCATAACGATCAGAATTGGCTAATTTGCTATATTCTTGTACGGTCATCGACTTTTTTTGGATATTAATTTGTTGATAAAGTCCTTGTTTTCCAGTGACAACTTGGCAGATTGGCGCTGGGATAGTAAGGTCTAACTCGTCAAGATTATAGCCTGTCTTCCTGGGGATCCATTCGGGTGGTGGTATTACTTTTGCCAAACCAGCCTTATGAGCTCCTCGACTTTCCATATATTCTACATATTTCGTAAAATTTTTGAATTCCTCGTATGTCGGTCTAAAAACTTGTATACGGGGTATCCCTCTTGCGTTACTAGCCATCGTTAAATTTATTATAACTGCAAATAAAAAATTTTTTTTAATTGATACATAATAATCAACATTATAAAAAATTTTTAACTATTAGTAATAATACTAGAAAGAAAAACGTTAATAAAAATACATGTTACTTTTAAGTTATTGTTAATTATACATAATTGTTAATTGCAATTTAATTTTAATATTTTATACATATAGTTTACTATCTCCTAACCATTTTTAATTTTACATATTACGAGGCAAAAAGCAAACCTCTTCGAAAAATATCATTCACAATAATTATTTCCATAATCGAAATTGAGTATAGCAATTTTACATGTATAAATAATATGTTGCATTTTATATTTAGAGCTTACAAAAATACACATAATTTAATATAGATAAGAAAGGAAAAATGGTTATTTCTCTTTAACCCTTAAATGCCTTTTCAGTAAAATACCCGGCATTTTTTTCATTGCTTATAACTTTTTTAATAATAAAGATACATACATATTTGCTTAGTATGTTCTTTAATATTTGGCATTCTTAATATTACACATACATATTTGCTTAATATATTCTTTAATATTTGGCATTCTTAATATCTGGCATTTAAAAAAAACGACTTATTTATAAAATGTTTATTTTTATGAAAGTTATAAGCAATCGAATTAGATTCGATATGGCATACCCTTAAGCATCACGCTACAAAAAAAAATGTAAATAATATATTTCCCAGCAGGCTGATGTAATTTTGACATTAAAATGATGACAAATAACATCATCTTGCTACTTAGGAACTATATTATTCTTATAGCATGGCACTTAAGGGTTCAAGTTAATTGATGTTATTTATCGTTATTTTACCATCCAAATGATGGCATGTTGTTACTTAGAAACTATATTATTCTCATAGTTAAGCATTAGGAAAAGCATAGTGTATAATACTCAGATAGCATAAAACATTTTAGCGATAGTACGTGTCGGAATTATTGCCATGCTACCTGGTACACTATACTGATAACAATAATTCTTGCAATAATTTACTGGATTTTATTGATCAAAGTAAGACTTGAACATCTTCTAGATACATACCAAAGTAAAATATAATTTGCACTTTTATCCTTTCAATTAAATCATTATACATAAATAAACTATGCAATAAGACTGTGTAAAGCACAGATACTGTAGAGATATTAAAATTACCAAAATTTATGAGATATAATTGCAGAAGTACAGCAAAATGATGAAATACCGTCTTTCAATTACATAACAGAGTTATATCAATGCAGAACAATCATTTTATTAGATTAAAATTTTGCAATTTATACAAACTGTGCTTATTATTAAAAAAATTTAATTAATTAATTTTCTGGGATCAATTATAATTATAAAAACACAAAAAGTATAAACAACAAGCAAATGCATATATTTCAAGCAATTTTTGCTTTCGGACTACAAAAAGCATAAAAAATGTGTTTAATTAAAAAACGAATATATACCGTATTTACTCCGTAATACATACGCAACATATTTACTCCTTACTGATCTATATATCATATAATACCTCACAAAATTGTTTTGAGAAAGCAAAAATACATTTAAAGAAGCATTGTTCTACAGAAATAACATTACATTTGTATCTTTCAACAAAAAAGTGTGTAATATACGCATGGAATCAGAATTTTTACATATTCTTTCTTCATTTTATTTTTCTTAGTTGAAAGATTAATATTTTAAGACATTCAATCAATTTCGTGAATAATTTTATCAGTGAAATCACAATTTATAAATTTTTTAAAGACCGAGCGTAAAAAGAAACGTTACGCTTTACTGACGGGTGACGCTTCATCGGGACAGTATTGAATCATGGCTTGCTAATTACGTTTTTGACCGAATCGACACGATACCTCCGGCGAATATTAAAAACCAGCGTTCGCATCGCAACGTACAATATGCAAATTAGTATCACGTTGCCTCTCATTCAGTCTTCGAACAGAAACACTCCGCACGTGGATCCCGCGTTCAAGACCTAAGTAGGATGTCCATGTGCGACTTGCGTAAATAAACAGCGGCAGCATCCGATGCGCAGAATGACACGAGGGAACAAATTGGGACACAAGAACGAAACGAGGATGACAGAGGAAAGATCAGAAATGCGAAAAATCGAACGCGCGTTGCCAATGAGACACCGGAATAGGAAGTCGTAGTAGAAAAGGAATTCGAGGCTTTCGAAACTACAATGAAAAGGAGTGTGGGGAGGGGTTGCCGCTGCCTGGTGGTGGTAATGGTGATGGAAGGAGTCTATAAACAAAATGGTAGTTATCTATTGTTGCCAGGATTCCCTCGGGTGGACACTTTTTCGTAAAGGATAATCCATCGGACGCCCCCGACATCCGCTTGCGTGACGTCGAGCAAAAGGACTGGGTTTTTTTCAGCGATTATCCGATACGTGCGCGAATGGCTGTGGTGGACGCAGGGTTTCATGCTTGCGCGAGAAGCTCGGCGGTAGTAGCATCGGAACAAGATAAACGGGTGAACAAGAGCGGCGCCGTCGCGCCTGGATTGCAGAAACGAGTGGTATACTTACAGTAGACACTCCTGGGGATCACCTCTCCTGTATCAATACCATCGTCTGCGAGATGCTAGCGTGATTATCACAATTTTCGAAGCACACACACACGCACACCGTCGATATGCCTTTGAGTCGCGCGTCGTCCGAACGTACCGTGTACTACGTATACGGCAAGGTGGCGTTTCAGCTCGACTCCGGGAGTCCGGATTGGGTCGCGCGACCTGAGCGCCACCTGTCTGACGCTAGTGAGTTTCGAGAATTTTCGGCGTTTGTCACGTACGCCAGCGGTGACTCGGTGAGCTAGTGGCGCGTGTATCAGCGTCGTATCTTTTACCCTGAGCTCCTGGGCATCGCAGATCGCAGCAGGTAGAGTTGCTATAGCAACTCTAGCCGCAGGGGTGCATTCAGTGATAATCAAACGTGCATAAAGAAAATTATTCAATTGCATTTTAGATGCGTCTTTATAATAGAAATGCGATTAGATGATGTTCTTTATGCGATTATGCACAAATATTGTGTTGAAGAAAAAGGACTTTTACATATCTGTCTAGGTTGCCTAAAGTGTAAATAGTTCTGATAAGTGCATGGCGTAAACGTAGCCATTGTGTCGATTATGGATCGATCGAACTTTTATCAACTTCATCGTTAGAATTCTGCTCGCAGCAAAATTCCATGTCTAACTGTATCATTTATTTCAAAATTATTTATCATTTTATTTTTCGCGTATCAAACGATAAAATTTTAATAATATGTTAACAAAATAGTGCATACGTATCTCAAAGCAATAGCATATAATAGAGTATATTAAGAATTGAAAAAATTTTAAATCTTTTTAAATCCTCCATTTAAATACACTTCTTATATCTACGGGAAATAAAACTCCGGAGCGATATTCTTTTTTAATTCATCTCGAACAAATATTACACTAAATTTATAAATAATATAGTGAAATAAATCCTTTTTCGAATTTATCAGGAGACGCGGTAGCGTCTCCGGCCATGTTCAAAAAAACTGTGAACGCTAGATAATGATTTATATCTATGCTACATATGAGATATATTAATTGTTCGAGAAATTAATTAATATACTGATTAAAAATAAACCTTCTTTTTTTATTATATAATTTTAAAAGCTTTTAGATTCAATATTTTGTGCAACGTATACATACAATTTACAAGTTAATTGACATATCATATACAACGCTTAATTATATCACACGCGCACATATATAATATATACATATTTTCTAACTAGCTAATAATCTTTTATATTAATATTTTAGAATAATTCAAATGTGGGATCTACATGCAATAGAAATCGTAAATGTTGAACCTCAGTATGGCGACCAACTGCGAAGATAAAGAAATCTGTAATTTCATATTCTTTCCAGCTTTGGACACGATACAGACCAGGTACAGATATATTAGCATGAATATTTAAATCGTGGAGAAGGAATTTTTATTTTACGAAACTATTACGAAGAAATTAGACAAGAACGAAAACGCTAGTTTTATCGATAATACAGGCGGCTCCAGCATCCTCTTAACATAAATATTTCGATAATACATTATAAAATTCATGATTTTTTTTACACATATAACTGCTGTATAAATAAGTACACATTCTTTTAATGCTATAATATCTTACATATTGCCAAAAAATTATACATGATCTTTTCTGTGAAGTTATCTCTATTGATAATCAAACTCAGATGATAACGTTAAATTCACAGTTTTTAATAAAAATCGAGTATTATTAAAATTTAAATATACATATATACATATTTATGAAACTAATAAATTATGAAATTAGTATTGTATTATTAATTTATTAATTTTATAATCACTTAAATTTTAACAGTTTTACGCCACTTCCATAAGTACTGAGCGTCTTTGATAGTATCTTATCAGTATGCTTTAAACGATGACACGAAAGCTACCTGCTTTAATCTAATCTATATTATCGATTAAAAAGAAGTTTTATAATCATATCATGTAACATGGTATAGATGGCGAGAACGGTTTAATAGCTGATGCCTCATATAAGTATATATATCCTTGGTAGCGTGTAGTGAGACGACTCGAATATCGAGTGTTTGCAAAGAACATAATATATAATTTTTTTTAAATTATACATAAATTGAAACTTTTAATAAAAGTATTAGTCTACGAAACTATATTAAGTTATGAATACTGTATTATATTAGTTTATTATTCTTAGGCCCGATTGCACCAACGTGATTTCGATTTTAAGTGAAACTTAAAACTGTCTCTATCTCTGTCTCTCTTTCGACTTTAAAACGAGACAGATAGAGTTTTAAGTTTCGTTTAAAATCAAAGTAACGTTGATGCAATCGGGCCTTAATCACTTAAATTTTAAAAGTCACGCAAACTTTTGTATAATAGCCGAGCGTCTTTAATATAGTATCTCGTGAGATGTTTCTGCTAATAATTTGAATGTTTCTACATATATAGTGTAAGAAATTTATTAGAAATAGAGGCGCGACTTAGAAGCTATCAGAATCAGGACTGTGTATAGCTGTAGTTTATTAATGATAGGACGAAAGAGAGAGAGAGAGTCTACCACCATAGAAAGAAAGAATCAGGCCTTGATTTTGAATCTCACTGGAGCGGGATCAGTTTCGCGACCGTATTTTAAATATGTCATATTTATTTTTACTCTTTCCTCAATATTTTAATTTTCACAAAGCTTCCACGATTTTCCTCAATTAACTGAAAAACTGGTCGTGATGGAGTAAAACTGTGAATTTTAATTATCTAAAAAACTTGACGAGCACTTTCCGTTCGAAGCACGGAAGTGCTCTCGAATAGCGGCGACCAATCCGCAGCTTGCACACGCGATGTCTCATCCCTTATTAGAGGATTCCTCTAATAAATACGTTTTGTATTTTGTATCCAAGTACTTTTTTGAAATGTATAGGTGTATAATATTTTGATGAAAATTAAAATTGCACCATTGCTGATTCAATGTAGCGTTGTGTCTCAGCATTTATTTCTTGTTAAAGCTCTCGTTCGTCAATCTCGGTTAAATTAAACGATGGTTACCATGCAAACGATGGTTGAAAACTCTAAACAGCAATTGGCTGTATAATTATACGCGGTTTTTTTGTCCTACCAATTGACGTTAGGTTCAACTAGTCGAGCACTAATTGGCGAAAGTGGAGGGGCAGATTCTCGGTGATGCCAAAAGTGCATTGCTGCTGCTGTAGCGAGTGAAGCCTGATCTACAATTGCGTAAAATTTATTGTAAGTAGTTGTATAGTTAAAAAAACATTTTGGATATTCTCCTCATATTTAACCATAATTTGTCAATTTTTACAACTTCGACTATCTTTACCTAATTGTAAATCAGGCTTTACTTGAATGTTTTTATAAGTTTATAACGCAGACGCATACCTATCAGCAGTTTGATTTCTTATAGATTATATCAATTGTGACCAACAAGTGACCCAAATCGTGCGGTGTGCCGGTGTGTAATTTTATAAATACATTTTTTTATTTTGAATTTCGTATTTAAATACAATTTTATTTATATATGTATACAAATAGTATGCAAAAAATTTCAACGTCTTATTCCTTATTTAATAGCTGCGGCAGCTATAAATTAAGAGTTTCACACACACAAGAGTTTTATTAAAATAAGAACTACGCATAACAGGTACCATATACATATGTCATCGCTTGAATATTATACAAGCAGGGGCATTTAAAAAAGTTTGAAAAATTTTATATTACGCAAGCATTATATGTATTAAAAAATATAATTCTACATAATAATGTAGGGGATTCTTATCACGTGTACTTTTACTGGAATATTACTGGAAATTTTTTAAAAACAATTTGAAAAGTTCGAGTGAACGTAGATATGTAAAAAATGATAAATATTCGATTGAGAATTTTTTTTCGAACAACTTTAACATTTGAATTGTACAGAAACAGTGCTTGTTGATAAATGAGAACATCCCAACATTTTTTCGAATGTAAGATAATTCGAGGAAAAATGCCACACTTAAAAAGCCTTTATTTTTGAATAACTTCTTAATGTTAATAAATAAAAACAAAAAATTATTATTTATATTTTCGAAACCTTTCTTTATTCATACAAATTAACAAATTAAACTTTTGATATTCCATATTATTGGAAATAATTGATAAATATATATCATATCCAGCAAAAGTAGTCTTCCACCTATATATACGGATAAGATGCCACATCCTATGGAAGAAAATGTAACAAGCAATTAAATAATGTAATGCAATATAAACTTGTATATTTTACTTATTCACAGTCCATAATAAAGCAAAAATTTAAATTATAAAACGCATAAACATATCATATGATAAAATATAAATTGAGGAAAATCTGCAAAAGAGTAATTTAAAAAGTATATTGGACATACTTTTATTCATTTAAACCGCATTTTATTAACTAAAAATAATTCGAATTATATAAAACATTCAAATTTTTAATCTGTAAAACTGAATATTTATAAATATTTGGAATTATACACAATATTTATAAAATATTTATAAGACATTGTATAACCCAAGCAAAAAATATTTATTAGAAATATATTTATCATAAATATTATATAAAATATTTAGTCTACATTCTAATAATATTTCGAATAAAGTCCTATATAAAGTTCTATACAAAAAATATAAATAGGAATAAATGTTTATCATAAATATCATGTGCTGTTTGAGTAAGACTTGATGAAGGTTATAGTATCGCTGGTATTAGCATTATCTAACACACATTCTATAATAAGCTGTTACTTAAGCTTTAAGTATTAACAATCGTAAGATATTGACCAGTCATAGTTGAATATGAGAAGAATAATCGATTACATGATTGGTCAATTTCTTACGGCTTGAAATTTAAAGCTTAAATAATGGATATTATAGAAAGTCTATAAGATGTTTGATTGAAGATTAAAACCAGTTATCACACATTTAAAAGATTTTAACCATCAATCGATTTTAAAATATAATTGATTATTACCTTTATATATATAATTCTTTGTTGAATTTAAATGTAGGAATCAATCATATTAAATTAAGAATTATTCAGCGATGATTACGAATTAGGGATCCTATTTTTGAAAAAGAATAACGTATATGAAATTAAAACTAGGGAAATAGTATATCTATACTGTAATCTATACTGTAATTTTTCTAGCTTCTGGTATGTTTGTTTTTTTTAAAGAATAAAGTTTCCACAGATTTCAGTTTTTTCTGAACGCAGCAATTATCTCGCGAGATTTCATTATTATTATTATAATATATATACTTTACTGTAGCAACATCAAAATATTCGACGAGATATTATTAAAAACGCTCAATTCTGGGCAAATTTTCATGACTATCGATGATAGGTCTCGAGGGTCCGATAATTTAAGAACGATGATATTATGGACACTTAATAAAAATTTGCTATTATTAACATAAATGTTACGCTAATACAGTATTCAATTCATGATTTTTTTTGTTATATAAATACTGTATAATAAATACTGTATATAAATAAATACGAAAATACTTTTAACGCTATAATATCTCATATATTGCTAAAAAAATTAAAATTATAATTTTTTCTCTGCATTTATTATCTCTATTGATAATTAAACTTGGGTGAGATAACGTTAAATTCACAGATTTTAATAACAATTGAGTATTATTAAGTTCTAAACATATATATATATATATGTATATACATATACATGTCTACGGAACTAATAAATAATTATAAAATTAGTATCTCATATTATCAGTCTATCTATATTATTCTCAATCACTTAAATTTTAACAGTTATGCAAACTTCCATAAGCGCCAATTGTCTTTAATAATATCACGTCGGTGAACGAGGGCACAGTCAACGTGATGCTACAAATGCGTTGGAGCGTTTTTTAATTGGTCAATTTGCAATTTTTCTTTTCTTTTGATTGATCCATCAATTGCTTCACAGCATATGTAGCAAGATTTTGACCACAGCTGAGTCATATAAAATCGTACAAATGTAGAATAAGGACAAATTATAGTTTGAAAAACTCGAAAGTCTCTCTGTGAATTTCATTAATTCCGATAAATAACATAAAGTCTAAGATCGGGACGTTTCAAAGATATTTTTGAGCGTCTAAAAATGTATTTTTATATGTCCTCTGATCTTAGTCTTTGTATTATTGAAATATAACAGAATTTATTATATTCGGCGTTCTCCTTTAACTCCGAAACGAGGAATATGGACCGTGCGCCGATGTTATCGATGTGCTCCCGGGCGACAATAGTAAAATCTTATCTCTGTATGTACATACATCCTCTGATAACGCGAATCACCCGCTTATAGATTCACACAGGTAGACTTTGAACATTCATTTTGCGATTGTGTCGTTCATCAGACGGAGGACGCGAATACGAGTGAAGTGAAGTGCAGAGGTGTGAGTAAAGTGTTTTTTTGTTTCGTCATTGACACGACGCGACGCAAGGCGACGCGACGCTCGACACGACGCGACGCCACGTGTCGACGCCACCGCGCCCCGCGCGTCCAGCGTCTACGCGCGCGCGTAGAATCGAACGTCACGTAGTTGTCCGCCAGTTAGTTGGGTAAAAAGGAGTGCGCGTGCGGATAAAGGCGGGTTTGCAGACGCGGACGCACACGCGAAGTTGCGTGCCAGTCGTTCGGCCAAGGGGAAAGCGTGCGGAAGAGATGTGAAACGCGCTCGTATGAGCGGCGGAAACTGTGCGCGGAGATCGTTAGGGAGAAAGGTGCGACGCTGATCAAACATGTCCGGTTACAATGAAATGAATGAGATGAGATCTGTAGAAAGGTCGCGCGATCCGCAACAGTGCGCGGGCGACGCGCAAGTCGATAAAGCGCTTTGTCTGCTCTTCGAGAATGTATCGTACAGCGTACAGAAGAGGATCTTGTCGAAAGGTAAAACGTTGCTCATTACTAATGTATCATCCTATTAAGAATAATTATAATAAAAATAGTAATTGATAAATCACTATGATGCACGCAACATACGATATAATTATTCGAGTAGACTGATTAGAGATATATATAGCATATTAAGATAAGAAGAGACCAAAAAAAAAAGGAGAAAAATCCTCTCGTATTGTATAAATACAATATTATATAATAAAAAATATTCTGCGTTAATCCTAATGTCTTATTATACATGCAATTGAATCTAATTTTAACATAATTATAACTTTTCTAAACAAAAATACGATTGACAGAGTAAACTGGATTCTAAATATTCTCTAGAGATTCCATACAGATAATTGAGTACAAATATCACTTTATATTAACATAATTTATGGTAAACATCTTATTTAGGCTATGTTCCAAAATTTACTGTCAGTACTGAAAACCTAAAGTTTCGTTCCGTGCACTACAGATTTTCAGTACTGGCAGTAAATTTTAGAACACAGTCCTCATTGAATGAACTAATCTCTTCCCAGACATCATATAATATTTATATAAAATAAATTAAGTAACAAAGGAGCATACAAACCAACACTGATACTTATTGCATACATTCTTAGTACTCTTTATTTATTGATATTTTTAATATTTATGCAATAAAAATCGGTGTTGGCTTGTATGCTCCTTTGTTACTTAATTTGATTTATTCATAAAGTTGTGTTTAAATTATCATTTATCAAATATTTATGAATATGTATTTATTTGAAATTTTTGTAAATATTTTTGAGATCCTAGATTGCACAGATCATAGACATTTATTATAAAAGTTATATAATATTTATGGTATATATTATAGTAAATGCTATGAAAAAAAATTTAATAAAATTAAAATTATATAGAGAATATAATAGAGTATAATAAAAGTATATAAAAAGTATAATAGAGATGTGCGAACTATTCGAATACGAATCGAATCTTATTTAATTCGTATTCGAATCGCTGTGATTCAAGTACGAACTATTCGAAAATTTCGAATTAAGTCATTAATAAGTATGCTGTAAACGTCAAAACGACATGCTTTGTGTGTGCTGTGGGCTTAAAGTTAAATAGTGAAATGCAAATGAAAAAGTGGTAAATTTGTTTGATGATTAATATAAGTTTGGTGCACAATTATGCATGCAATTAGTCAAATTTTAAAATATAATAATTATTGTTAATTTAAAAAAGTCTTCTATCTTTATTAAGTTTTTTTTTCTTCCAGGTAATGATTTTTGTGTTGACCAAGTTAGTCGTATGTATAATGCGCACTAAACTCGTATTGGCCATCGACTTGTAACTATAGTTTTATATCTAATATTTAAATATTGCACCAAATTTTTAAAATATCTACTATCATAATTAACGTTTTTATATATATATAAATAGTTTTATCTACATATTAGAATTAAACTGACAATATAATTATGCTGTTAAAAAGTTAAAAGTTATTCGATTGAAATCAAAAAACCTTAATTTGCACATCTCTATTATATAATGTAACAAGTAAAAAATATTTGTTAAAAATATTTATTTGTTATATAATAAGTATTATATAAAACATTTAGTCTATATTTTAATAACTTTTTTAAATAAAGCTTCAAATAAAAAATATATATAATATGTATAAAATATTTATTATATAAATATTCGTGCTTTTGGATATGGTCAAACAAATCTTTAGTGCCATAAAATAATTTAATTAAAGTAAGGTTATTGTAACATTTTATTTATGTTATCAGAAACAAGTGAAATGTTACAGTAACTAAATTTTTTGCTACAACTAAGCTATTTTATTCAATCAAAAACTTTTTACCCAAATCCGAATAAATTAATTTAATTAATACAACCAAATAAATTTTTAGTAAAAAAAAAAGTATTATAGAAAAAAATAATTAAAGAAATTTCTGCTGTGACAAAAAAATAATATTTATTAAAATTTTTGTTAAATAAAAAAGTATACTAAAAGAATTTATAAACACTTTCTTTAAAAAATATTGCTTTTTAGCGAGTGAAAAAATGAAAAAAATAATTAATTTTGCTTTTATTTGTTCTGTAAATCAAAACTAAGACAAGAACTCTCGTTTAGGAAAGGAATATATTTATTTTTAGAACAAAGACGTCAGTTGTAGCTGAGAGTATTTTGAAATTGATACGATTTATCGCGGAATTGCTCTATTTGACTTTGTTTCAGAGTGTTCAGAGAGAGATTAAATATATTTCATTATTCTTATATTGACTATTTATTAGTTATTAATTCAATTGTTGTTAGAATATTATTTATCCACCCACAATAAACAAATTGATAACAAATTAGTCAAAAAATCAAGTTGGCATCAAACTCGATAAGCTTCGGTGACAAATCCGGTACTGTACAGTAATAAGTTTGTATTTTGTTAGCAAAACCTGGATATTCATATAATTAAAATTAGTAAATCAGCAGTAAAAATTGAAGAAAATTTTGATCAATTTTTGTTTTGCTCGGTTTTTACCGTCAGTTTGTTCACATTTATGATAACCTTTGCAGTTTTGTAGATAATTATAGTTGGCATATATATGTTACATCAGCAAATTTTGTTTACTTGACACTTGTAATTTGCTGATATCATTAAATATAACAGAATTTACTGTTTTTAAAATTTGATGTTTTTTTGTTGACATTTGTAGCAAACATTTATGCTTGCTTACAAAATAGACTCGACTCATATAGATATATATATATATGTATATATATAGAAGAAAATTAAAAATTTCTTAACACACATTTATGGAAATATGCAAATATCCTTAATCAGTTGTTAAAATAGATGTATACATATATATGATAATATGATTTTATAATAAATAATTTCTTAAATTACATATTTGTATATTTGCAACTTAAATATTCATAATGTTTTATAATATGTCACTTTAATAATGAGTGAACATCTTATTTTAATATAAATAAAAAGACTAATTATTTTAAATGCATAAATTGTGTTAATGTATAAAATATAAAAAGAGATTTCAAAAGTCATTGCAAGATGATACTTCAAAATGAACATAAAGTTATGTCTCGTGGCGGTCACGTACTTTCTCTTTCCATCTCTCTTTATTTATCTGTTCTTTTCTCGGTCAATGAGGGGGAAGCCTCTATCATTTCCAAACAAAGCTTTATCTTTTCTGTAAGCTCTTTGCTTGATCTCAGTAACAATTAGATTTTATCTTATCATCCCCTAACGAAAATAAACATTGGAATACAAGTTAAAAATGTAAGAGAGTAACAGAAACAAAAATAAAGCTTATAGAAAATAAATTTGACGGAGACAACGGAATGTATAAAAGAAATGTAAATACCACTTTCACACTTTTAGTCTCTACTCGAATTTAAATATTCTCCTCTTCAATTTTGATGAACTTTGAATATAATAACTTGAATATGATATGATACAGATTAAAATAAGAAATTTATATTTTTTATAACTATTCTTACGTTCATTAAGAAGATAAGATAATACTTTTTCGAAATAAATCAACTCGTACATTTCTAAGCATGTACAACATATTATCGAAACGATAAAACACACACACAAAATATTTTAAATCAAATATATTTGTGTGTTTTGTTCATTACTCTGTTTTTACTTGCAGTTTTTTTTGCTTTTATTGTTTTTTATGAAGTTCTTATACTATACAGTGTGACCCAGTAATTCTGTTACAAGGCAATATTTCCGTTAATGTTAATGATACGCGAAAATGTCTGAAGAAGAAATTATTTGGTTCGGAGGGGAACATGTTTTGGTTACCTTGCTTTTTTTCTAAGAGACGCCAAAAAGATATGTAAAACCAAATTTTTATATTTTATAAAATTTTGCAAATATGTATGATAATTATTTTAATATTTAACATTTGGATATCGTATAAAATTATTATTCTTTTTTTATTTAAGTAGAAGGCAACTATTATCAAATTTAAATAAAGATCATGTTTAAAACCTATAGTATATTTTATTTGCCAATAGTATATTTTATAGTTTATTTTATTTCTCACAATAGAATTTTTAATTATTATTATCGATTAAAAGAGAAATATTAATTTTCTTGTGAGTATAAAAATCACGTGTAATTGATAAAATTACTAATTAATAGATAATTAAATTACTTATTAAATTAATAATTAATAACAGTAAAAGTAAATTATGTAAAATTATGAATTTATAAAAATGCAGCATAATGAATTATTTAAGTATCGAAGATAAAATATAATCGATTACAAATCAAATAGCATATATTGAGTACAAAAACAGAGAGGAATATTCAATAGATTTCTAACAAATTACAATTATTAAAGAAGATCTGTGTTGTGTTGCTTTTTATACATTTAAATTCAATTACAAAATGTACTATTATAATGTCTTTGTGTAATATGTAACAGTTGCTTCATGTTAGCATAATTATTCCATGTGTGACAGTGACAACATTCTTATTACCTATGGAACTTTCACTTTGGTTCATTTGAGAATACGATAACTTGTTTAGATTGTAATTACATTCAAACTGTGAATGTCATATTTCAGCATGCATAAATATTCACTGTAAATTTTTCATATAATCATCAAACTCTGTTTTCTGTAAAGCATCATTATTTTGTTTTATAGAAAGGAAAACATTGTTAAACGATCTTAATGGCGACTTTCGACCGGGTGAACTCACAGCTATTATGGGTCCTTCAGGCGCTGGAAAATCTACATTAATGGATATCCTAGCAGGTTTTACGTTAGTATAATTAGTATTTGATTAATTTTATCTTACTGAATAAAGAAGACGCAATTACCAGCTCATAAATTTTATTTAACACTAAGCATGAAAAAGAATAATAAATGTTTTGATTTTACTATTATTACTACTGCAAAAGATCTAAGATGATGATTAATATATAATTGTAATTTATGAATATGAAAGTTTTTTGATGCCTTTTTTCAGTGTTTTTCATGTTAATTCAATAGTGTCTACACACAACAAAAAGAGTATTAGATTTAAAATTAAACACATAGAAATATTTCATAAATATTAAGTAATTGAAAATAATAAAGAAGGCCTTGTTTTATTAATAAAGATTATAGTATTACAAATTTATGTTAAACTCGAATTATAGTATATAGTTTATTTATTATGCGTTTAGACTTTTTTCTCTTTATATTTAAGGATAAACCTTTTCATTTTTAAAAGTATCTTGTAAGCTAAAAATTTTATTAAAAATATTGTAAATATTTACTCGAATCCGAACAAAAATATCTTAATTGTCGATATATATCGATAATCCCTTAAAAAAAGAGCCTTGAATCTAGATATCATATCGAATAATCCTGATTATTAGCAAAATAATTAGCAATTAAAAAAATCAGCAAGATTTTTTAATAAATTTGTAAATTCTAAATTGTAAATTGTACTTACTATTCCGCACGCTAAAGCCGTATGTTAATTGAATTATTCATTAGAATTGTGCGCATATTGAAGTCATGGTAGACGTATATGCACGCACTAAATTACGTAATCTTCAATATCAATATCCGTTCACTCTTCAGATGTACCTTAGATGTCACGATGCATTGCAATGTACACAAGTACAAAAATGAGCTTTTAATCTTATCTTCTTCACACTTGTATCTTTTTCTTATCTTTTTCTCTTTTGAACGGTTCTCAATTATAAATGTGACTAATAATCGATTGGCGAATTATTTACAGGGACAATATACTAAATTTATTAATTGTTATATTAATTGTTTATGAATTTTAATTACTAATCAAGGAAAAGGCTAAAATATTCATTACAGATTGCGTTCAGCAGAAAAAGAAGTATTTTGTAATATTGCGCTGAGGCTCGAAATGTACATTAATTTGTAAAGTGACAAATTGAATTAAAGTTTTTTAATATAGCGCATTGTGTCTCTTCCGCATTAACTTTAAAAAGCCGTTTACATATTTTAATTTAATTGTTTGAATTTCGAGGAGTCTGTAATTGATTTCTTAATATTGTTACTTCATAACTGTTGTAAAATTCTTTAATATGATTAGTCTTGTCCTTAATTTCTTAGAAGATATAAATGTCTATACGTATAAACCAATTATATAAGAAAATTTTATTAGAAAATAATTGCTACTTTTTTTTATATACTTACGCAGCATATTTCAATACGCATGACGTCACGTGTTGATAGCGCATCCCAGACAGCAAAGAATATTTATAATAAATATTTATTACTATTCATTTTTTGAAATATATATATTTTATACATATTTATGGTAAATATAGATAAATATAATATTTGTAATAAATGTTTATGAAACGTGCAATCTGAGATCATAAAAATATTTATAAATACTTTGTAAATATTTTATAAATATTATGTGCTGTCTGAGATACATTAATAGGGAGAAGTTATAATATTACGAATTAACGACATGTTGCATTTCAGAACAACCTCAATCACTGGTAGAATTATGATAAATGGACAGGAACGAAATATGTCAGAATTTCGTAAACTGTCCGCCTACATAATGCAGGATGACAATCTGCAACCATTTTTAACAGTGCAGGAAGCTATGTTCATTGCTGCTGATCTCAAATTAAGTTTGGATCATCGTCAGAAATCGCAAAAGGTATCATTATAAATGTTATTATATTAATATAGAATTTTCCGATGGTAAAGTAAAATATCTACAATGGAAAATATGTAAATTAATTACCGAAAAAATTTATTGTATTGTAAAACAACAATTTGCATTTTTATCTGTAAAAAGAATGTATTAAGTTAATTTTTTTCCATCATATTATTCTGTAGTATTGTTTCTAATTTTCCTCTAAGACGATAATTACAAATACAGGATGTCCGGAAAATTGTCCGCAATACTTCGGGTAGTAATTCGGTACCTAAAAAGAAGGAGAAAGCTATTTAAACATAGCTATAGTATAATAATCTGCATTTTTTAAAAACAATTAATATGTGATTTTAGTATGAATAAGCGATTTAAATTCTATCTTTAATTAACTTTTTTTTTATAATTACGTATTAAATTAAAATAATTAAAGTGAACGTCAATTAAGTTATTATATATAATTATACATATATCTTCATAATAACTATAATAATAGATAAGTAATCAGAAATGCTAATTGAAATTTAATATTAAGAAGTTAATATGCGTATTATTTAAACATTTTTATTCAAGACTATAATATAACAAAAAATTTTGATCTATTTTATTAAAAAATTTGTATAAATAATATGTTTATATAATAAGAATTTTTTAATGGTTGTAAAAATCTGTGTACCATGAATTAACATAAGTTGTACATTAACTACACATTAGCTTTTATTTTATAATAATAAAGTAATTAAGTTTAATGGATCTCGATAAGAGTATATATTTTTACTCAATATGTATAATTATATAACTTAATGATGTTACATCGAAGTTTTTTTAGATAGAAGAATCTCTAATGCATATGAATTGACGGATAAAAGTTAATTGACGTAATTATGTAATAGATTGACAAAATATTAGTAGCGATGGGTCTCGACGAGTCTCGTTACATGATTACGGGCGTACTTAGTGGAGGACAAAGAAAAAGACTCGCCATCGCACTTGAACTGATCAACAATCCACCAGTTATGTTTTTCGATGAACCTACAAGGTAGATATTACATGATTTCTGTAGCAAGATTTATTTTTGATCACGTACATACTTTTTATATATAATTATTTCTATTTTTTTTAGTGGTTTAGATAGCACTTCTTCAAAGCAATGCCTAGCACTTTTAAAACAGTTAGCGCAAGAAGGACGAACAATAATCTGCACGATACATCAGCCGAGCGCAATTCTTTTCAACATGCTGGATCATCTTTATGTGATTGCTAACGGCAATTGCGTTTATACGGGCAGCACGTATAATTTGGTGCCATATCTACATAGTATAGAATTTGTCTGTCCGACACATTATGATCCTGTTGATTTCTGTAAGTTGTGCATTTTTAAAGCCGACGAACCACTACACGAAAATCTTGGTAACATAAAACTCTTTATTCCATAGTGATGGAGATATGCAATGGTGATTATGGTCCCCACATATCCAAGCTAATGGAATCGATCGACAATGGCAAAAATAATCAATGGAGATCGACGAAAACCGATCATTTGAACAAAAACCAAGGAACTATTACCTCACAGCAGGTCGCTGAGAGATTCTATTCCTTTGAAATGGAATTCAAACGTACTTCATATTATACCGATAACTTTTGGAGGCAACTCTGTATTCTTATCAAAAGAAATGCAATTAGATTATATCGCGATAAGGTAATATTATTATACGTAATGGATCTTATTTATGAGATACCTTTTACTAAGCTAAACAGAAATTTACTTTCTCATCTTCCTCAAATATCGGAAAAGAAAAATTAATGTTATATAAATGTTCATTTAGATAGTGAATAAGTTGTATAAATTTAATTAGTTAATTTATACGTATTACAATGTAATAAATTACATTAATTTTTCTTTTCCAATATTTGAGGAAGATGAGAAAGTCAATTTCATATGCAATATGATAAATCATATTGCATCAATAGTATCAATGTTAATACGGAATTTTAAATTCTTTCTGTTTTTTCTTTATGTAGGCATTAACGCTCACACGGATATCAGTGCATTTGACAATTGCTTTGGTTGTTGGCACATTATATTTTAAAATCGGCCAAGACGCTGCTTATATTTTAGACAATTTTAATCTATCATATTATAATCTTATGTTTCTCACGTATAATGCATTTAGTGCTACAATGGTTACGAGTAAGTTTATTATGGTTAATTCAATTCAATTCAATTTAATATTTAATTTTTTTTAACTCAACCGGGAGAAAAGTATTAGCTTCGTTATCAATTGGACCTCAGTAGTCTCTTTTTAAACAAAATTATTTTTCAGATAAAATTTGGAATAAAATGTAAATAATAATATTGGGAAAAATATTTGGCACAGTTTGTCGAATTGATAAAAAATTTAACGCCACAGAACATTTGAAAAAAAAAATAAGATTATCGCAAAATGATGCTCTTTTCTTTGAGTTTATCCTTTTTGCCCGATTTAAGGTTTAATAATTTTACAATTTAATGCATGCAGTGTTCTCTGAAATACAACGTTACATTTATTTTCGTCTGTTTTGCAGTTCCATTGGATTTACCGATACTAAAACGTGAGCACTTCAATCGTTGGTACAAACTACGATCGTATTACCTAGCGAGTAAAATGGCCGATTTTGTTATCCAATTTATTTCTACGTTTATTTATACAGTCATAGTATATTACATGAGTGGCCAACTTCCTGAAAGCAGAAGATTTGGGTTATACATGCTCATGTGCTTTGTTGTCAGTCTGGTTGGTCAAACAATTGGATTCATTATAGGATGTGCGCTAAAGATTCAGGTTTATATTAATCTATTTTATTCATTTAATATATATAAATTTAATTAAATTTGATAATTATATATATGTAGTTTATATTAACGAATATATGTTATTTTTTGTTTCTATTTTTATTTGGAGGAAGTATGACTGGGGAGAATGATTTAAAAAAATCATCTGTTTTACAATCTGTAAATTGATAATTATTTTATTTCAGAATAGCGTAATTTTTGGACCATTTGCAATTATGCCATTCGTTGTTCTCAGTGGTTTTTTTATACACACTAAAGACGTAAATCCCTACTTGGTTTGGCTATTTGACATGTCGTTCTTCAAATATGCTTTTGAAGGAATGTTAATGGTGATTTATGGGTAAGAATTTCATTATTTACTTTGATGTATGATAGTAATTGATATTTGATATATCCACAGACAATTAATATTATAACTGTAATGCATTTATTTAAAAATTTTCAAGTATAGATATTTATTTAAAGTAGAAATATTTAATTATTATTAAAAATAATTGAATTAAATCTCTTAAATTTCATATTTTATTCTTTCATAAAATTTAAAAAGAATATTTTTAATCATAGTTACGATCGGGAGAAATTAAAATGCTCGGCGGATTATTGTCACTTTACTACTCCCAAAAAATTCCTCATGGAACTGGGCATAGAACATATAAATTATTGGTTCAATGTGACAATATTGGTATTACTATGTATCGTTTTAGATATTATAGCATGTATTATATTAAATATGAGGATCAAGAAACGTATTTAATACATCTTAAGATGAAACTTTTTATAGGCTTACCAATTAAATGTGAATAATTAAAATCTCAGCAGATCCACTTATTGCTAAGATTAATTAATTTCTTGTAAGCTAGAATTAACACACACACACACACACATATATATATATATATATTATATCTGCGTTTGTCTTTCATGCGTTATAAGCTATTCTTGTATCCTATCATTATTGTTCGATACTTGCAAAAAGAGAAAATAGAATGAAACTTACAATGCGTAAGCGTGAAAAACGAACACAGCCTATATAACGTCGTACACTTGTAATATTGTAATATTATAATATAATATTATTAGATAATATTGTTACAGTTAAGGAACAAAGAAAATACGTATACTTTTAATTTGAAATCTAAATGTGATATATTTCAGCCATCTTTATTATTTATTATTTTATTGATACAAATTTAATTTAAACTTACCATGACATATTTTTTGTTATTTAAGCTATGTTTATACGAAATTTCATTAAAAAATGGAAATTAATTTTTTTCGTGCATATGCTTGTATTTCTTTGTTATAATCAAAATGTTATAACTATTTGTATTATATAGTAGTAAAATTTACTAAATAAAGTGTGTAGTTATAAGTTATATTGTTATAGAAAACAACACTTTTTTTGTAAATATTTTGAATATTTTGTAAATATTTTGAATATTTTGTAAATATTTTGATATTTAATGATGCACGTGTCACATCTCAAAGTATTACAAAAAATACAAAAATTTCATAAGTTGTTTTATTATTATGTCTAAATGAGAATCTGTGTAAAATTTGAGCACATTTCTCTTACTGATTAAAAATTATTTAATTTCTTTTTCAAATGGTTCCTTTTTTTTTTCTTGAAGAAGAAGATCGACGCAATATTACGTTTTGTAATCTATGTTTATTTGTAAGTTTCATAAGATCGTAGCATTACGAGTTGAACCAATTTTTATTAAATTTATATATAATAATAAAGTTCTAACAAAATTTGTTCAAAAGTTTATTTTGTTTTACTTACTCATTTGAAACTTAGCAAAATATGGTTTTTTCGGTACACAAAACCGTTGTAAAACAAGATTTCTGTTTTTTCTCAGTTGATTTAAATCATATTTATGACAAACATTTTGTTACAAATATTAGTTTTTTAGCTGGTTTTTTGGCTGAATTTTTTAGCTACACTGCCAAAACATCCTTAACATTTAAAGATCAAGAATAGACAAATTAGGAATCTGTAACATATGCTCACTACCAACTTATAAATAATCTATTCTGTATAATTTAATGCGGCATACATATAGATATTTAATGCAGTCATAGCGAATAATGTCATTATTTGTAAGTCATGTTAGTCTTATATATATATATATATATATATACTAAAAGATAATTTTAAAAATTAAAATACATTTGAAAATATTGACATAAATCTGATAAGAGATAGGCAATAAATGTTGTGATATATTATACACATATCTCAAAGTAGAAGTTATGCGATTTAGTAATTTTTATAAAAAAGGAGAGATTATGGAAAACGCATTTAAAGTTTAGATATTTTAATATACGTAAGTAGAAAAAAGTAATTTATTACTTTAGTTTACTGTACCATATCTATTACCTTCCCAATTGAAGAATATAGTGATATATTATTTGAAAAGAATTTAAAATATTATTTGAAAGAATTTAGAATATTTCTAACCTACGCGCCGTCCCTAATATTGATTGTTAAAATAGTGATAAATTGTCCCAATATTTCATAAAATCACCTTTTTAAAGACGATTTTAAAAATTGTAGATTTTTAAAAAATGTAAGAAAAATAAATTTTTTACATTTTGTACTAGAAAAATCTCCTTTAGGGTTGATTTATACTGGCCGTAATCTGTTAACTTGACCAATCACAGTCGAATGAGAGGGAAATAATCGATTATAATTGGTCAATTTTTACAGATTACAGCATAAGTTAACAGATTACGGCTAATATAATCCAATCTTTAATTAAACGTTAGAAATAGCTGAAAAATGCGATTTTTTCACCTTCTATAGCGTAATCCTGTATATATAATATATATTTGTATATTATGTGTGTATTATTCTTAAACATTTATAATGCTATAAACAATACTTACATGTGTGAATTTTTCTATTCGTATTATATTCAATAAAATATTATTAAAAATAATCTTTACGCTCCATGTTTTTAAAACTGTTGTTTGCATCTTTTTATAGATATTAGATATAACTAAGCGTCAATAGGTATACTATACCAATTTAACGTTTAAATTCAGTATTAGAGTGTTAAATATAAAAAATACTTTGATTTTTTTATTAGTACATGCGATAAAATTATCAAATATAAATTTTTATTCTTTACATTATGTGTCCAAATTCTGTTATTTGAGTAATACATATAGCGTTTCACTATTTATGTATAATAAAGAAATTTGATAACTGTTTATTTTATTTATCTTTCGATTTATATAAGTTCTGCTTCTTTTTGTGAGCATTTTCTTACTTTTTGTGAGAATTTTAAAACGTATCGCAATATATGAATCTAAGGTAATTAAAAAAATAATATAGAAATATACTTACGTTGTAATACATATTGTCTAATAAAATTATATATTTAATATTCTGCTATCTAAAACTCTACGTTGACAAGTTAAATATTTATATGCTCACTTCTTGCTTTTATAGTTAACGTACCTGAATAATGTCAAGAATAGTAATCTAATTAATGGTTCGACAAAACATGTCATGTGCTTCCATTCTGTAGTAACATCCTTGAAATTCTCAATATTGATCAAGATTTCACGAATGTATTACTTTTTATCTTCGGAATTGCCACAATAGATGTCTGAAAAAATCGTACAAAAGTTTTGGGGGACATCTAAAACAATATAATATTCTCGTTTATCCACAAGCACTGTTCCTGTACATACAATCCAAATGTTAAAACTAATTAGAAATAATTCTCGATCGAACTTTTATCTTTTTTATGTATCTATATCTTTACTCAAACTTTTCAAATTGTTTTTAGAATTTTCAATAATGTTCATACGCGTGTCGTGTTAAAAATTGTGTAGAATGCCATATTGTGTAGAATGATTTTTCTTTATACAAATGATAAATGCAGTTACTTGCGTGATATCCTTCAAACTAAATCACTTTATCACTTCATCAATCTCATTATATAATATCCAAACAATGACATACGGATAGTGTATAGCTCTGTTATTATGTCTGTTCTTACTTTAAGACTCTTGGAGCTCTTAACTAGCTGCTGTAACAATTAAAATTAAGAAATAACAAATTGAAATTTTTTGCATTTATATATAGAGTTCGAATAAAAAAATAATAGGAACAATGAATCTAACTTATATTTTTCATGTTTGGTCCATAATTCATACTATAAGACGAAGAATCCAATGATATTATCAACGTTATAAAATTTTTATTGATTATATTAAGTCTATAAATATTTAGAACCTTTTTTTATATTTAATAGAAAAAAACTTAATAATTGAGTTATTCTTATATGATTGATATTTATCAAAAATATAAGCAAAAATTAATTAGAAATTTATTTATGCTTGTTTATATTCCTTTTTAAACATAAAAGAAATTAAATATCTAATATAAAGTATTAAAGATAAGTAGGCTTTTAAAATATTAAGAATGTATAAATCTACCCGATCCCATTAGTTAGATATTAATATTTAAATTAAGTGTTCCTTTAAAAAAGTCAATTAAAGAGCGCATAATTGAAAAAAAATGCATTTAAGATGTTTTAAAATTAATACAGTCACTTTAGTATCAATGTATGATAGAAAATTTGATAATTTTCCGATTTTTCTTGAAGTTTTTTACTTCTATTTCTGAACTAAAATTCATCACTTATATTGTCGAATATATTACATATTATCTTATTGGAAATTATTCGAAAGCTTGAAAATTTTAAAACGTATTACAGTATGAATTTATATCTAAAACAATTAAAATAATAATACTATAGAATTATACACTTAGGAGTGAAATGTCACTCTTTACAAATAAACAAATTCAATTCTACTGTAGTAATTTAGATGTTCGATTCACTCCCACAAAAAATTAGTATTTTTAGAAAACATTCTCGTTTTACTTTGAAACGTTGTAGATAGTGACTAGTTTATAAACACAAGGATTACTTTCGAAATAACAATTCAAAATTTCTTTGTTTTAAACTGTTTATTCTCCAATCAGATTAATTAATTAATTTGTTGAGGCGAGAGGTACTACTATATCTAGTGTAATAAACATCTTAAAGTATATATATATATATATATTGTTTCTAAATTATGTTTTTATAAAAATGGATACAATAAATTTTCACAATGGTATTAATCGATTTTCTTGTGTAAAAACTTATTTTTACAATATTTATGTAACTTCAAAAGTTCAGAATTGAAGATTTAGGAATAAATAATACATATTTAAAAATAATTTATTAACTCTTAAATTTATCCCTCTTTGGTCGGTATTTATAGTCCGTAAAAATAATTAATAAAAAAAAAAAATACGAATTGTTTCTTAACAAAACAAAAATATTACAGTGAACAAATATAATTGTTATCTGACTTATTTACTCAAACATTAATTATGCCATAAATGATTTATATGTGAAAATTTTTTTTGTTTCTATTACAATATTTCTAATAAAACTTTGTTTGATAATAATCTTTGCGTAATTAAACTTTACGTCACTACATTATATTTTAAATCCAGCATTAGAGTATTAAATGAAAAAATTAATATATGCATTTTATGTAATAAAATTTCTGAGACTAAAACTTTTGAACGATAGTCTATAGTCTATACATAATGGAAAGCTACACTCAATGTATAAAAGATGAATTAACATTGCTTGTGAGATTAAAATTAATTACGCAATTATTAAGTATAATGATAAAAAAAACACATTTTTTTTTACTTGTATGATTTAAAAGCTGACTACTCAACGACTATAACTATAGTAAACATCCGACGCACGTCAATAGTTGTAATTAATTTCCAGACGGCCGGGCTTTTTTTATCTGAAAAAGTGCACTTTTTGCTAAATATTCTCATATAAGTGCAGCCCAATGATCAACTGATGTTTGAATTAGCTATATACTACTGAATCACTTAACGATCATTGCGTATATGTCATATACGTCCTCACGTATACAGTGTAAACATCGGCTCTTCAATTAATTAAAAACAGACAGCTAATTTTACAAAGTGTTTAACAAAATGCTGAAAATAAATGATAAAAATGACACAACAAGGATACTGGATGACGAATGCAAAATCCATGTGCAGGAATTGGATAAATTACTGGAACTCGAGAACTCGCGGAACTCGCAAATATGCATTGAATTCAATGATATCTGTTACCCAGTTCGTCACAAATTTAAAAGTAAGTTCATTTTTTGTCATCCTATATTTTTATGACAGTTGCGATTCTGTGTTCTTAATACATATTAAACAGCGTCTACAATGAATTTCATAAATTATTTATAATAAAAATTATTTATTTATAACAAAGATATCGTAAGAAATTGACCAAACAGATTTTTTTTTAATCTGACTGATTGGACAGTCTCTTACGGCATAAGATTTATGTTTTACGCTTAAAGGTATAAAAATTTGTTCTATCTTTTATATTTAGTTTTAATGATATTTGCTTTGAAAGAAAAAAACCGATTTTTTTCAAGGAAGATTTTTATCCCTTTAACGTGTCACTCTGCTGATATAAAAAAGAGAGATACGTATTTTTTTATATCAGCAGAGTGACACGTTAAAGGGATGAAAATCTTCCTTGAAAAAAATCGGTTTTTTTCTTTCAAAGCAAATGTCATTAAAACTAAATATAAAAGATAGAACAAATTTTTTCCACGATAATAATTGAATTAAAAGTATTGGACTTATCTAAAAACTGAATTTTTATTTTTATTTCTAATTTATTGGTTTAATTAATGTGTATATTTTATGTGTCTGTTTAAAACTTATTTAATACTTATCTTCGCAATTAATTTTATCCAATACAAATCTTATAATTATTTGTATACGTAATATACATAAGTATATATGCCTACATTAGCACGTTATATAATTGCAAGAATATGACAAAAATAAATAAAGTTAAGTCTACATCTCTACAGGTACGTATATTTCTAAAAAAGCAATTTAAATTAATTACGATTATATAACGTTTTCATTTTCTCGATAAATCTTAAATATATGTAAACTTATAGAGTTTCAATAAAGCGAAGTTTCATAGAAGTTCAATGTATGTAAATGCAAATATGAGATTTACATATTTATTGCGTTATTATTTACATATAGTTAAAGAAGAACGTTTACTCTGTAGAAAATGAGAAAAAAGTCCTACATAATGTGACGGGGCACTTTGAAACGAGAAAAGTTACGGTGATTATTGGTCCTTCCGGCGCAGGAAAATCCACCCTGCTAAAAATTATATCGGGTGAACGATTGAATAAAGTTAAGGGTACCATTACTGTAAACAATGTTGAACAAAATAGAACGATGTTTCGCAAACAGATATGCTATGTGCCGCAGCAATTCCATTTATTGCCATTCCTCACAACGAGAGAAACTCTCTATATAGCGGCACGACTGAAACTCAATGTTAATCAGAACAAACAAGAGATTCGTTTAATTGTAAGTAAAATATAAATATACGATAAATATTATTAAATATATATGTATATATATATATAGTTATTATGTAGTATTTTTATATATGTATATTAATTACATATCAGTATACTTATTTGGTCTGTATTTAGAATGCGCAACGATGTTAGGTCTCTGACATGCTATAGTTTACGTTACGCATACTATAGAATTTCAGAAATAAAAGCGCGCTTTTATCAATAAAAACGCATCCTGGATCTTAATAAATCCAAGTAAAGAAATACTTATTAGAAATATTTATATTTGTATTTATCAGGAGACGCGGTATAGTGTCTCCGGCCATGTTCATAAATATTATATAAAATATTTATATAATATTTCAAAAAATAAATACTGATAAATATTTTGTGCTGTTTGGGTTGTAATGCATCGCACATAGCAGATATTATGTATTAATTTCTGTCAGGTGAATGATATCGCAAAGAATCTCGGCTTGTCGTCTTGTCTAAACACATTGGCGAATAAATTAAGCGGTGGCGAACAAAAGAGACTCTCTATCGGCGTAGAAATGATCACCAAGCCATCTGTTCTTTTATTAGACGAGCCAACAAGCGGTCTCGACAGTGTGACCTCTAATCAAGTATAGTATAGTACAGATTACTATAATATGCAGCTATTAATAACAATTATTTCTCTTACAAGCGTTATTCAATAATAACTAACATAATGTGATATTCATTTTTTTTATTATATTTTGTTATAATAATTTTGTACATGTGCAATACTTCATCAATATTGCAGCAACGTTGCAACGTAAATAAAATGTTATAACGTATCGATTTACATATCATTAAATTTTAATGAACTCTTAATGTATCCAAATGTACTGTTTGAACTTAATTAGATCATTAGCATGCTACACGATATGGCAACGGCAAACTGCACTATAGTTTGCGCAATACATCAACCCAGTAGTCGAATGATTTCACTCTTTGATGACATCATGGTACTTAACCAGGGCAGATGTATGTATTGTGGTCCCAAGAGTGAGATCTTAAACACATACAGAATTGCCGGATTTACGTGTCCCAGTTTCTATAATATAGCCGAATTTGGTAATGTTTACTATACATATCTAATTTAATAAAATAATTGCGAGAAGACAGGAGAATTGAAAAAAGAGCACTGAGAATTCTATACGCATATTTTTATATTTTTTAATTTAAGAAAAAGTTTATTTTTAATAAAACTTTAAAATGTAATTTTTTTAAAATTTATTAAAAAGATACATTCTTGCTAAATTTTTTTATTTTGTACTTTAGTATAGAAATTAAAATGCTTTAAAGACATTATAAGACTGATGCTTGAGAGAAAACGACACAAAAATCTGAACAGAAAAATTACAGGCAGCGCTTATAATTTATCAGGCTTATAATTTAAAATAACATAAGAACAATTGATATTGATTCTTCTTATTATAGTGCTTGAGGTAATAACCGAACAGAGGGATGGAGATTTAAAAAATCTATACAAGATCTGTCATAATGAATATAAAAAATTCAAATCATGCAGTAAACATAACAAAAATGGTAAATATATTGTATATTTTATTATTTGAGAGAATCGCCTCGTGTAACCGGTTTAAAAAATTGAAAAAATTTTTTTTCTTTTAATTGATAGTAATAAATGTAAAAAATATATTCTTAAAGTTTTCACGAACAAAATTCGAAGTTTTAAGAAAGCTACAGCTCATTCATTATGCACAAGTACACGCATGGCGGTGCATACGCCCTTTATTCGGTCAACAGTAATAATAGAGGCAGATGTTTTCTCAGACAGGTGTAAATCTGTATTTATGTATATATTGGGTTGAAGAAAAAGTTCTACGGTTTTTGTTAACAAAAACTCAAAACTAAATATACAATGTTTTCGTCAAAAAATTAAATTTAAAAAAGGTTTTAAAGCTTGAAATCTCTACTTTTAAAAGGTTTTTATAATTTTTTAGTTCATGTGAATTTGATAATTTTTGCGTACAGAAAACTATCAGAAAAGAAAAATTTTTCTTCTCATTTTGTGAGTCTGTCATATATTAAAAAAAGAGTTTGCAAAAATTTTCAACTATCTAACATGAAAGCATAAAGTTTTTCTTAAAAATTTGTTTTTAAAAAATGTTTCTACGATTTTTTTCTTTCCGAGTTATTCAAAAATCATCATATCGCAATTAAAAAAATAAAATTTTTTAAACTGATACTTTACGCATTGTCATATTTTGTCGATGGATCGACCTAATAAATTTAGTAAAATAATTAATTAAAACAATTGTTATTGCATAATAAATAAAATAAATTGAAATTTTGGGGATCAAAATCATATTTATGTCCTTAAAATGTCGCTATTTCATAAATTTTCAACTTTTAACTTATTTTTATTTATTTATCAACAAGCTGTTATACAAAATAAGAAAACATTTTGTTTTTTTGTTTCACACAAACATAAAAAGCGTTAGATTTCCCACCGTTTTATGATTTTGGCGACTATTTAAGGTTGTGTTAAATTTATTTGCAGCAATTAGAAAATGAACTACACCAAAATAAAAAATTTTTTTCTCTTTGATATAAGCAGTAAAACACCAAAAATGTTTAAAACGATCCGTTGCGTAAAAAAAAATTGATCAAAAATGACCGTCTTTTTAGCGATTTACACAAGGCGATTCCCTTAAATATTTTATTCTTAATTACTCCTTTTATTTTATTAATCCATATAATAATCCATTAATAATTCCTTCAGTTTATAATTATATTCATAATTTACACATCTTTTATTTTGCTTGATAATTATTGAATGATGAAAGTGTTAATATATATGTTTCATATACAATAAATATGTGACAAACAATAATTCTTAATAATTAATTAATCTTTTTATATATATATAGAACTAGATTCACCAAATAATTTCAACCAGAAATATGAAATACGAGACGATACAAATACAAATAATATAATACAAAAAATGTCGACGTGGCAACAGCAAAAGATATTATTTTTACGAGCTTTAATCTGCATAAAGCGGGATAACGTTAGTACAAACTTTCGAAATATTCAAATAATATTCGAACAATTTACTTGAAAAATCAAAATGTTATCGTTTTAATTGATTTTTCAGGTTTTGACAAAACTACGATTAGCGGTGCACATTGTAATCGCGTTATTAATAGGAACACTTTTCTATAATTTTGGTAATGATGCGGGAAAAGTGTACAGTAACATTTCCTGCATATTTTTTTATCCATTTTTTTTATTCTTTGCAAACCTCATACCAGTAATTCAAATGTGTAAGTAATACAGATTTTTTTATTAAAAATTGATAAAGTCTCTTTGACAATTTTCTTAATTTACCTCGTTTAAAGTTGTGATAAATATGTTTTATAAATTTATATAAATTATGTTACATCATATTACGAGTAATACACATAATTGTATCTGATTATAGTTCCTACGGAAGCGGCAGTATTCCTACAAGAACATTTAAATAATTGGTATTCTTTGAGAGCTTATTATAGTGTAAAAGTATTAACGGATCTTCCGATTCAAGTATGTTTCACAATGCAGCGATAATATTACTAATTGCTTCTTTAAAAAATAAAGTTTAGTGGTCTAAATATAAGTGTATAACTAAATATGTTGTTATTTTGCTTTTTTAAGACAAATTTTAAAGACAATTAAGTATAATTTGTTTAATTTTTGTAGATACTTCCCGCTTCGTGTTTCCTGTTTATATCATACTATATGACAGGACAGCCAATGGAATATGAAAGAATTTTACAGGTATGGTGCGTCTGCCTGTTAATTACGATTCTTGGACAAACGATCGGAATATTTGCAGGCGTGGTTTTAGGCACTGAGGTATTTTACTGATGTATTTCTTATTGTATTTGATATATTTACGTTATTAAAGAAGTTACAAGGAAAAAACTATACAAAAAGAAAGAGGCTACGGTTCACGGTCAAAAATCGCCCATCAATACATTTTTTTATTATAAAAATTATATAGTACAATTGTGTGTGTGTGTGATAACCGTAGCGTTTTTTTTTTTTCAGTAATAAGCGGGGAGCACAGACTTTTGCATAACGCATAATACATAGTGCATAAGAGAATCAACCAATCTGAATTCCTCCTTTCCTTCCACTTTACGGAAAAGAAGAAGTTTGATTGGCTGATTCTCTTATGCATTATGCGTTATGCGTTATGCAAAAGCTTGTGTCTGGGCTCTAATAATTTTAATATTACACATATTACAGATACAACATTAGGGTAAGACCGCCTAAAAATGCATAGTTTTTTTTTGAGGCTACATATAGCTTGTACTACAAGGACTCGATTTTTGACAGTAAAGTGTTGCTTATAGATATTTAAATCATTCACACATCTATCTCTATATTTACCGGTACTTTAAAACTTTCTGACTTGACTGTATGACAAACAGAAGTATCCCCGTGATTGATGACTTCTCGCATTCTCACGGCTAGTGCACTCATGCAACTATAGGGTTACTTTATCGACAATTTGTATCTGTCAGTGCTGCTCATGTACAAATTTATAAATTATTCTCAAGTGCGAACTCTTGAACGATCTTGTCACTTTTTATTTTTAATATAAAAATAACTATATAAAAATCATTACAGATATTAGCAGAGATTGTAGTAGATACATGCACGCACACCATAAGATAATACATATTAACATAGCAATAATTTAATATAGAAATCGATCAATTTATCCGCGAAAAATATAGAAAAAAAAAGTTCAAAATCACAAAATTTAAAATATATTTTTTATTGTTACTAGCCTTTTTCTGCGCGTGCTACGCGCGCGATTCAGAATTATTGGAGATATACAAACAAATCTGGAAAAGACCAAACTGGTTTGTTAATCCCCCTAAAATTACAACGTAGGTTCTTTCTTTACTTAATTTTTTAAAAAATTTAAGCATTTATACATCCTTAAAATTTTTTTCCGGATTTGTCTAATTTATGAGATTATTATTTGTTTTTTCCTTTTTTTCCGTTAGTTTTAATTAACTGTCTTCATTTTAAATTATTGATTTTCGTATTTTTTTTATTTTTTTATTTTTCCCCGCTTCTTGAAATAGTCATGAAGATGATGATTTTCGTCTTCTTTTAATCTTATTCAGTTGTTCTTCGTTTTTTTTTGATATTTTTCATTCGTATTTTTTCGAAAAAATCATTAATTTAGTAAAATGAATTCTGAAGCAATCGATACGAACTCGAAAAATAATCACTTGGGGGATGTTACAATCTTTTTTTGTGTATAACTTTTTTCTGGAGGATGGATAAATGAAAATAACGGGTGGACAAACGTGGACAAACAGTGGACAAACGAATGTAATAATAATATTACCAATATTCGCATTTACAGATTCCAACTTTACAGAGCTGCTTTGTGAAGTTGGCACCCCTAAATGCGAATATTGGTAAAATCATTATTGCATTCGTTTGTCCATTGTTTGTCCACGTTTGTCCACCCATTATTTTCGTTTGTCCACCCTATGCTTATTATATTTTTCATAATAGTGTAAAATAATCACTTGGGGATATTATAATTTTTTTGTGTATAACTTTTTTTTGGAGGGTGGACCAATGAAAATAACGGGTGGACAAACGTGGACAAACAGTGGACAAACGAATGTAATAATAATATTACCAATATTCGCATTTACAGATTCCAACTTTACAGAGCTGCTTTGTGAAGTTGGCACCTTAAATGCGAATATTATTGGTAAAATTATTATTGCATTCGTTTGTCCACTGTTTGTCCACGTTTGTCTATCCATTATTTTCGTTTGTCCACCCTACGTTTATTATATTTTTCGTAATAGTGTAAAATAATCACTTGGGGGTGTTACAATTTTTTTTTGTGCATAACTTTTTTTTGGAGAGTGGACCAATGAAAATATTGTTATAACAATCATGATTTTTAATACACAGATTGGCCCAAACCAAAAAAGAAACACATTCTGTATGAAATACAGCTCTTACAATCGAATACTTCCGTAAAGCTCAATGCGAACTCTTGGGAGATAAACAATTTTTTAAGCGGTCTTATCTTATATTGGAAAATATTGCAGACATTGTTATTGCTATTACAAGTAATTATTCGTAATAACAATAACTTATAAATTATTATATGATTGATTTATGATAATATCCAGTTGATTTATTAGCTTTTACTTTTTTAATTGCAGTTAGGTATGTTTCTAATACCAGTAATTAGTATACCATTACTGTTGTTCTCTGGATTTTTCTTGAAATTAAATGAAATGCCGACGTATCTACAGCCATTAAGTTTTGTGAGTTTTTTCAGGTAGAGACAATTTTTTGTATCAACTGTTAATTAAAAACTTTTTACATTTAAATTTATTATTACTTGAACATCATTTTTTCTATAGACATCATTTTCTTAATTTATAACGTTTATTAAAAATTATTTCTGCTCTTGTATAGATACTTTTATTCTTTTTCTAATTTAATGTATATATTATATTTATTCAATAAATTTGAAAAGCGTAAAATTTTATTGCAGATTTGCGTTTGAAGGAATAATGCTGGCGATATATCTTGACCGACCAAATCTACCATGCTCTGAAGCCTACTGTCACTTGCGTTCTTCAAACAAGATTCTTTCGGCAATGGGCATGCCAACAATATCATTTCATCTAATTCTGATAATACTTGGCTCTTGGATACTTTGTTTACACGTAATCATCTATGCAACACTTGTATGGAAAATTTATTTTGCAAAAAAGTGACGTATTTTGTTAATTTAGATCTCAAACGAAAAAGTATTCCTTAAATATATTTTAAAGAAAAAATTATCATTGAACAATTGAGGAAAGGAAAATGTTAAAACTTCTATCTGCGTATCACCTCTAAAACTTATTGTTAAAATATTATAAAATAACATTATATATTGTTGCAATTTCATAATTCGATACAATTACATTTTGAGAGGACACTTTTAACACTATAAAGTTATAAAAAATTCAAAGATTAATTTTTTGACATCCAAGAAACTAAAAATTCGTTTTCAATGAAACGCTAGCATCAATAGAGGAGAAGTTCGTTTTTAATTTTTTGTTCAGCAAATATATGAATATTATTCTTAGGTATGACAGAAGTTGTACCTAATGAAATTATAAAATATAAAAATTTTGAAAATAGTATATTTAAAACATTAAAATATTTACTATTATTATGTATGCGATTTTCAAAAATAAAATATTTGCGCATTGTTTATTTCGCGATCGAAGAGTTTATTGTCAAATCCCGATCAACAGGGCCGTTTCAAGTCGAAGTACAATGCAGTGCATCCAGGTGATAATCAATCGTATGATTACTTTTAAACACTCGTCGACGGTCCCTGTGAGGCGGCCACCCGGATGCAATGCACTCTCACAGGATGCCTCACAGGGGCCGTCGATGTTTAAAAGTAATTAACTGATTTTTATGTTTATTATAGTCATGATGTAGAATTAATTTGGATTTAATACGAGCAAAAAGATTGATATGAATCGTTTGGGTTACCAGCATAAATATGATTTGTAGGAGAAAGCGCGGCAATGAGATATTCTGCACCTGGGTGCAATATGTTTTTGAAACGGCCCTGCCATTCAATCCGGATCATTTCTCTTCAGGTTTTTCTTACTTTCTCCTATATTCTTGATTTTCGTATACCTCGCTAATCGATCCTTTGCGTGCTCACTATTAATGCTGAAACGAACCGAATACCAGCATTTATGTACCAAGTGTATAACTTACGCAAGTCAATGTTTTACGTGAAGTGCGCAATAACATGTGTGAGAATTTGAGAATACCTTGACACCTCCTTTCGCAATAGGATTTCTGTAGTTTACTTTTGCATGCTTGAAGAATTCTATTCCATTCGCAACGAAATTTCCGATTCGCTCGCACGTTGAAGTGTTTCACGTACGTATCAATATCAAGTTTTAATTCTTAACGTACCATAATTATACTATTCGCTTTAACACACACAAATAAAATAATTAGTCTGACTGATAAATAAGCAGTTTAAAACAAAGAATTTTGTAATTGCTATTTTGAAGGTTATTTCCCCTTGATATTAAAATTTGCCATTATAGCACAGCACACAAACAATTTAACAAGAAAATAAGGAAGGAAATACATTTCATTATAACAATTTCGATTTGCATATATTTTTTTTTTTTTAATATTTTAAAGACTTTTTCACTAAATTTTGAAATGCTAGAAAATAAAAAAAGTATTCCCAAACTTTTATGAAATTGTACCTTAATGGTACATCGAGCGATAGTATTACAAGGCCAAGGACATAAAAATCAAGTGAAAATAGACCTTAGTACTTTATTATGATCACTTATGGTCAGTAAAGGTCGTACTGCTGAATATAATATACGAGTAGATAATCAAATTCGCATTATTCAATAGTTTTATCCGGAATTTTTATGTCGATAAACTTTTTATTAAAATTATTCATAAACTGAAACCACAATCAAAAATCCAACAAAATTTTATTTATGTCGACACAATTTTCGATTGCGACCAGTCTGAATAAAAGTGATACTGTCATTATCAAGGTTGAATAAGTGAAATATATCTACTACTTTAACGATTTCATTTGTTAGTCACATGTATAACGTGGGTTGTTCGATAAGTCCATGTAGAGTTTAAAAATATGGCACCATATCAGTACGTATCGATATTATTTTAGTATTTGGCAACTCTTGGAAGATCACACACCAAATTTTCAATGAGATAGACCTATTATATTCTGTGTCTGGCATTTATTTGAATTGTTCAAGTACCGTGAATTGCAAAAAGTGAATCAAAAAAAGTTTTGTATAATGTAACCGCTAAATTGTTCGATTTATGCTACAAAATCTTTCCGCAACCCTATATGTATTTTTCAAATTTGAACTTTGTAATGTAAATCGAACAATTTTGCAGTTACATTAGAAATTCTTTCTGATCCATTTTTCACAAACCACGACACTTAATCGAATAAAATAAATGCGTATTGTATGTCAAAATTAACTGTAAGAAACGAAGAAACATGTCGCATATTAATAACATTTAATGTCATATATCAGACATCACATGGTACTTAAAAATCAAATGTAAAAATCAATATGTAAACAAATGTCATTAATCTAATATTTGCCTTTCTAACACTTTATGTAAGTTAATTTTGTATAAAACGAATATACAGGACTCTTAGTATTGAAAATTGTCAATGAAATAAAAAGGCAATTAAGAGTCAATATTAATTGTGTGAACTAATAAAACATTTAATATATTATAAATTAAAATAAAATATCAATAAATTCACACTTTAAAAGCGCACGCAAACATAAGTCAAATCATAACGTTTCGGCTGCATATTCGAGCCATCCTCAGATGAACATATAAATATTAATTAACGCAGTAAAACATCTTTAGTTAACGCAGAAAAAACAAGAAAATTACTATGATAGATTGTTATGTTCTAAAACGTTGAGTATTTCACCGAGAGAACAATTTAGCTCATCAAGCGATTGGAAGATCGTTTGTGATGTATCCCTGTGGTACTAATAAGGACACAAAATTAACGTTATATTAATAAAACAATGTGACAAGCAATTGTCCCTCTGACAAAAAACTCACCCTCAAGTAATCCATGTCGTTAAAAGAGTCATTTATTAAAATTCGGTGACAATCAAAATCGTTATTTCGTTAACACATTACAAATATAAGTCGTTCCAAATATAAAACTTTTATAACCGTCCAACTAACTCGACGTACAAAACTATAATGTTTAAGATTTTGGTAATGCAAAGTCATATCTTGTTTATAATAGGAATATATGCTTCATGCAGATCTAATGTGTCCGTTTGTAGGTTAAGACTGTTTTGCTGTTTTTTAATGTTGAGCATCTCTGCGACAATACGTTTCCCATAACACGGTTCTTCATCTAAAATTTGTACATTATTCCAATCGAACTCATGTCCTTGTTCCAATCTGTGATCTGTTATCACCGATTTAGAGCTCGTATTCCATCTAATGTGATTACGGTGTTCTGCAATTCGTGTTTTTAATTTCCTTCCTGTTTGTCCCACATAAGACGCATCGCAGTCGTTACAATTTATCTTATATACCACATTAGTCTTAGACATATAATTAAGAGGATCTTTATGTACTTTGATATATTTTCTTAGCTTATTAGCACTATAATATGCCACCTTGATATTGTTTCTGTTAAATTGTTTGAATTTATCTATAAGTCTCGGTACATATGGTACTATAAACCATGAAGGAAGCTCCGATGATTCTCCCTTTAATTTCCAGTTAATTTTGTGTTGTTTCATCAATGCTTAATACAATGTCTTGATAACGGGTTAGTAAATCGATTTTTTTCGAAATGCTACTCAGTATTTACAAACAAAGTTTCAAAATATTGGCAATGTTGCTTCTTCATAATTTTGATGATATAAGTGAGAATATGCTGCTACCCGAAATAAATCACTGAAATCGTTAAAATAGATTCATTTCAGTATAAATTATATTAAAATAGTTCAATTGATATAGATTTCAGCAATTTTTAGCGATTTCATCGATTTATTTCCACATGAGATACTCTATAAGAACTCATGCAAAATTAAATTGAATAACTCGTATAGAGAATCGACTTTAGATTTTGCATATGGCTTCAGATAATAAATAGAAACAATTTATTAAATTTTCGAAATATTGTCAATGTTAGAACGTTAGCACCAGTACATCTGTTACGTCCAAGCTCCGGCTTACTTTAGGAGCTGTATAGAACGTAACTAGAACAAGATTCAAGATTCCATCACGCTCAAGCCCTGAAATTCCAAGGGGCATAGCTATGGAAGAGCATAGCTGTCGCTCTACTTTTTATGTAAAAATTAATTATGATTTAAAGATCAAGTGATTAAGTAAAAAATAAAAATAAGAAGAAGGAGCATATACTATAATTTTTGATGCAAAAATGAAAAAGAATTATAATTGCCAATGGCCTTGATCATGACAAATGTTGTACAAATCATGATCCTGAACAAGAGGTTTTAAGAAAGCTGTCCATAAGACACGTTGAGTAATGTTATATTAATTGTTAGTACTACTGTAACTTTTAAGTTTCGTAAGTTGAAAAGTATTTAATTAATTTATGAAAATAAATTATTGTTGTGTGTTGAAAAGCTGTTGAAGTAAGTTACAAGAATATGCAATAAAAAATTTTTCATTTAGAAAATAAATGTGCCCTTGACTCGATATTTGATGATGTCACCTAAGGTTAAAGTCAGTAAATCTTATTACTTTGATCTTAGATGTGGCGTTGCAGATTTTTTTAAACCCTACAGTTTTTATCTGAAACATTTTTCTGCAAGACTTATATTTTCCGAAATATTCAGTTCAACACACCCACACCCACACACACGCATGCACGCACTCATGCACACACGCTTAAAAAATCAAAGTTATTCACGAGATAATCCATCATTGAAGATAATAAGAGACGATTTATCATTTTAATAAAGTAGTAGCAGTGTAGTTACGTCAGTTGACTGTGATAGACGTAGATAAACATTCAACCTCTGTAGCAACTGATCATATGAGATACACTTTTCAAACATAACGTTCACTCATCTGTGAAAATAAAAATGAAGTGAATTTCTCCTGTTATGTGCTTATAATCGATAGTAAAGAATCAACCTATAATGTATACATATATAAATGGAAGTGTAGTGCTGTAACCGATTATGTATGATTGATAAGGTGTATTTAACAATCATATTCATTCAATCGCAGTGTAAACATTTTATTTAATTAATTTTTAGTTCTCGGGCTAATTTTGCGTAGTGTTTAGCAAGATGCTGGAAACAAACGATAAAAATGACGCAGCAAGGATGTTGAACAACGACTGCGAGATCCATGTACAAGAATCGATAAAATTACTCGAGAAGTCACGAAACTTACCAATGTGTATCGAATTCGACGATCTCTGTTATTCGGTTCGTCGCAAAGGCAAGCTCATTTTGTCATCCTACATACCTATCATAAAAGTCGCGATTTTTCTACGTTTTCGATATGTATTAGCTAGGTGTTTTTTATCATTGCATTAAACGATTAAATCACTAGAATTTCCATTCTTGACTTTCACCAATTTTTAAACATATAATGATTTTACTTTAAATACTATACAAAGAGAGTGTACAGTTTAGTTGTAAAAGATAATTTTTTAATTCATGAACTTCGTTTCATGAAAACATTTTCAATGCTGCGCACTGATCTAATTTTTAGTGATAACCATAGCGATATAACAACAAACTATAGCATTGAACGCATATCGCAATACATGACACAACGTAAATCCATGTAGTTGCTTTACTTCTCGGGTTACGCATTAGACGTTAATGATTTATTAACATTTGTATATAATACGAACGTTACTAGATTCTCACAATTGTTAATTACATTGTTAAAATATTCTCACCCAAATGTTTTAAAAGTAAAGAAGTTTTAACGTTGTAAGAGTTTCTTGAGCACAAACGTTATACATATCTCAACATTTTAAGTGAACTTACTTCTAGAATAAAAATTACTTGTTGTTTTAAAATATGCTACCGTATACCATTAAGTACATATAATACACACATATATATATATATATATAATTTTTACGTAATATAAGACATGTGCGAATTATTCAAAACTATAAAAAAATGAATTTTTATGAATTTAAGTAATAGAATAAAAAAAAATGTAAAATAAGTTATGATTCAATCGTCTGTCTTAAAATTACAGAGATCGACATTCCCATGTCACTATACATTCCAACTTGCACTTTTAATAATTTATTTTTGGTTATTTTCTATAGCAGATCAAGAAAATAGTACAATTAATTTAATTTCAAATAACAGAGAGTCTAAAAAGAATTCTTTTTTAATTTCTAATTTACAAAATGAATTCCCGTTTCGCATTTCTGTTTTAAAGTATTCCTGAGAATTCCAACAGATTTTATTTTTAAATCATTAATTATAAACTTTTTTCAGATTTAAAAGATTTTTTACTGTCATTTTCTATTTCTTAATATAAGGACTTTTTATAGTCCTTTTAATGAAAGTATGTAATAAAATTTTACATGGGACTGTATATGTTAAATCTAGTATTTAATAGTATGTACAAATAAGTAATTAATACATTTTGAGACATAATGCGTATTTATTTCCTAGAAAATTTTTCTATATATAAGAAAGTCTGTGATTATATCAGATAATTATACGTTATTTTGCAATTATAATTTGTATTAATAATGAATACACAGATATTTTCCGTTCTCGATTAAATCTTTGTAATTAGTACTATTATAGGTCTTTATAATAAACACTAGTATAACTGCACTAAAATGTTATATAATGCAAAAATTAAAAAAACAATAGAATTAAAGATATATTTGCTTCATTTCAAGTATAAAAACATTTTATTACTTGCAAAAAATACAATTTAAATGACAAGAATTGTACGAGTATAACACTTCGCATTTTCTCGACAAGCTTTGTATAAATTCATAAATCTTAATTAAATCTATAAACGCAGACACGTAATGTATACTGTGTTTTTATATGTAAGTATAGTTAAAGAAAAATATTTATTCCGCAGAAACTGAGAAAAAAATCCTACATAATGTGACGGGACACTTCGAGCCTGGAAAAGTCACGGTGATCCTAGGTCCTTCCGGCGCGGGAAAGACTAGCCTACTGAAAATCATATCGGGTAAACGACTAATCGACGTTAAGGGCACTATTACCGTAAATGGCGTTGAACAGAATAAAGGGATGTTCCGTAAACATATGTGCTATGTGCCGCAACAATTCGATCTATTACCGTTTCTCACAACTAGAGAAACTCTCTATATAGCGGCACGACTGAAACTCAACATTAATCGAAACAACCAAGAGATTTATTTAATTGTAAGTAAAATATAAATATATACGACAATTATGTGTTATGAAATGATGCATCGTACACATCAGATATTATTTCTGTTAGGTGAATGATATCATAGAGAGTCTTGGCTTGTCGTACTGTTTGAACACATTAGCGAATAAATTGAGCGGTGGCGAACGAAAGAGACTTTCCATTGGCGTAGAAATGATCACTAAGCCATCTGTTCTTTTATTAGATGAGCCAACAAGCGGTCTCGATAGTGTAGCCTCTAATCAGGTATATTTATATAGATTGTTAACAAGGAATGGAAGAGTTACTTTTACTTATTAAAGTTATTTTAGCCTCTTAAGCGTTTAGTTAGTTATCATTACAGTCATAAAAAATTACAACATTGTTACCATATTGTTATAAAAAGTAACTGTAAAAGTTCCATTCCCTAATTATTAATATAGCTATTTTAACAACAATTGTTTTATAAAAAGGTTATTTGCTATTAACATAGATTTTGATATCTCTTGTTATATTGTGCTAATAATTCTATATATAAGTGCAGAATATTCCGCAATATCACAACAAGATTACAACGTAACTGAAATATTATGATTTACTTTTTTTATAACGTTATATAATGTGTTTTTAACGCATTAGCTTGGAATAATTTGCATTTGATTTTGAGCTCATTAACATGCTGCACAATATGGCGAAAGAGAACTGCACTGTAATTTGCGTGATACATCAACCTAGCAGTCAAATGATTTCACTCTTTGATAACATTATGGTACTCGACCGAGGCCGATGTATGTACTGCGGTCCCAAGAGTGAGATCTTAAACGTGTACAGCATTTGCGGATTCACATGCCCAAACTTCTATAACATAGCCGAATTTGGTAATATTATTCTATTGATTTGACTTGATGAAAGAATCACAAGAAAACAAAAGAAACAAAAAAATAAGACATTGGCGTAATACATAAAATAGAGCCATACGCATTATAATAATATATATGAATTTTTATAACTCTAGAATTTGTTTATATTAATTTTATAATATAAACTTTTTAAATTTATTTAGAAAAATTGTAAAGGTTTACATTTTTAAATAAAAAAAGTGTAAGCAATGCGACTAAGCCTATCAGAAAGACAAAAAACAATTGATATTGATTCTTCTAATTGCAGTACTTGAGGTAATAACCAAGCAAAGAAGTGGAGATTTAGAAAATCTATACAAGATCTGTCGTGATGAATACGAAAAGATCAGATCACACAGTAAACATAATAAAAATGGTAAATACATTATATATTTTATTACTTAACCATTTTATTCTTAACTCTAGCTGTACACACTGGGGTTCCAGAAATTCTAGTGCAATTTACTAAATTGAGATTTTTTTCGCATTTCTGAACTTTTTTTTTTTTTTAACCTATAATTCTCAAAGCTCTTTAATTCTATGGAGTTTTATACATTATGTACTTGTTTGATCTTGGTCAATTCTCCATCGATTGAAAAAATTAATTGAAATATGTCCATTTTTACGGAAGTTACGGTAACAAATGCGGATGAGATCCCGCAGAGACTCGAGTGTGTTTATCAAGGGTAGAAAAAAAAGTGGTGTATAGCTAGAGTTAAATTATCTCGATTATGTCAATATAATCTATTAATAATTCATTAATAATAATTATTTTAGTACAACTTATACATTAATTATTCATCTTATTTGGAGTTGATTGAATGATGAAAGTATTAATATTTTACTTATTGAATACTTATTGTACATTCTGTATAAAAAAATAAATCTTAACTGGAGAATATTGATTATTTAAAATATGAAATCAGGCATTAAGTGCTTTACGTGTATAACATAAAATTAATCATTCAAGAAGCGTAAAAATATAAAGCAAGATAATTCATATAAAAGTATGAAAAACAAATTTTTTAATTATTATACCAATAACTCTTAATAATAAACTGATTGTTTGTAGAATTAGATGCAACTGATTCCAAGCAGAAACGTGAAAGTAACGGCATAAATACATCCATAAAGAACAAAATATCAAAAAAATCGATATGGCAGCAGCAAAAGATATTATTTTTACGAGCTCTAATCTGTATAAAACGAGATAATGTGAGTAGAAACTTTTGAAAGATAAAATATATATTTGTACAACTTTCTTGGAAAATCAAAATGTTATCTATTAATCTTACAGATATTAACACAATTAAGATTGGTGGCACACATCGTAGTCGGGTTGTTATTAGGAATAGTTTTTTATAATTTCGGCGCCAATGCAGAAAATGTGGGCAGCAACATTGCTTGCTTATTTTTCTTTCTACTATTTTTATTCTTTGCAAATTCCATGCCGTCAGTGCAAATGTGTAAGTAATATATATGTAGATTCTTCTTTTGGATATGAAATGTAATATCACAGTATAAGTAAGAAATAAGTAAAAAAGGCTCACTCTGTGTCGGCACTTTTGATCTGACTGCTAAACGACCACCATACTGTCAGTTGTACGTGAGTACCTATAAGATCGGAGTTGCTTAGCTTTCTTAAGATCTACAATTGCGTAAATCTAGTTGTAGTTGTAAGAATTGACCAATTACAGTTGAATGCGAGGACTCGAGGAGAGTATCCAATGTAATGGGAAGATTCTTACAACTACGATCAGTTACAACTATGTTTACGCAATTATAGATCAGGCTTAAGACTGTAGTATTTGAATAAAGGAAACGATTAATGCGCAATGTTGTTAATTGTGCAGAACGGTCATGCGCGAGAGATGACCATTAGCACTATTTTTGGCTGAGTAAACCTACTATTCTTACCTCTACTGTGGTAATGTATAATTCATATAACTTTATTTGCAAACAAATAATTACTATGCAAACAAATGTTACTATCTGCAATTGTTTTACTATCTCTTTTTGATATAATTCTAAAAATTTGATAAAATATCTAATTCTAAAAAAATAATTATAATTTGATTGTTGTATCTGATTGTGTTATAGTTCCTACGGAAGCGGCAGTATTTTTACAAGAACATTTAAATAACTGGTACTCTTTGAGAGCTTACTACAGCGTAAAAGTATTAACGGATCTCCCACTACAAGTACTTATATTTCCATGTAGCATTATAATTTTATTACTAATTATTTCTTTCAGAGTTCAAATTATAATATTGTAATTAAATATCATTGATTTTCAAATTAATTAAAAATTTATTTAATTTTTAGATAGTTTGCGTCTCATTTTTTCTGCTTATATCATACTATTTGACAGGACAGCCAATGGAATATAATAGATTTCTACAAACATGGAACATTTGTCTGTTAATTACGATTCTCGGACAAACGGTTGGGATACTTACAGGCATAGCTTTCGGCACTCAGGTATTTCAATGGCGTATCTTTTATTTTAATTAATATTTACATTATTACTATTTTTAGAAAAGCTACAAGACTTTTATAATTTAATATTACATAATATTGATATAATAACATATCAGAAAATATTGCGATTATAATTACTTGTAATATAGCAATAAGTTAATAAATTATTAGACGATTTATTTATAATAATAAATTTCCAGTTGATTAATCAATTTATATTGTACAAATTTCAATTCAATTGTTATTTAATACGAGAAAGTAATGATTAGATATAACTTCTTTCAGTTAGGGATATTTTTAATACCGGCAACTAGTATACCATTATTGCTGTTCTCCGGATTTTTCTTGAAATTAAATGAAATGTCGATATATTTGCAACCTTTAAGCTTTGTGAGTTTCTTCAGGTACGACAACTTTATATTACACACATATTAATTAAAAACTTTTAGCATATATTTAAATTTATTATTACTTTGACATAATTTTATTATTCGATCATATAAACTATTCTTTAATTTATAATAATGTATCAAGAGTTTCTGCTTATGTGTAGAGACATGCTTTTATTGTATTTTCATTTTATTGTATTTTTCCAATAAATTTGAAGAACGTAAAATTTTATTGCAGATACGCATTTGAAGGTTTAATGCAGGCAGTCTATCTAGATCGACCAAATTTGCTATGCTCGGAAATCTATTGTCACTTACGTTCACCAAATAAGATTCTCTCGATGATGGACATGCCAGCAGTGTCATTTCAAGTAATTTTGATAATACTTTGCTGTTGGATACTTAGTTTACACGTAATCATCTACACGATTCTTCATTGGAAGATTTATCACTCAAAAAAGTGACAAAGTATTCAGTTAATATTGTTTTAAACGAGAAAATATTCTCAAAATGTATCTTCTTTTTATAAGTACAATAAGAAGTTTTACAGTTACTCGTTACCAATTTTAGAAGTAACTCGTTACAGTTATCATTACTTGAAATAGTACCTTTTCTCGTTACTTTTCGTTACTTTAAAAATGTATTTTTGCAATAGTTTTGTTTCTATGTTAATAAAAGCAATTAATATACATTAATGACGCCAGTTTTATTTTTAGTTTTTTCTTAAAAACATAATTTTATTATTTTAAAATCTGTAAAATATGCGGCAAACTGAGATATCTATCCGATATATCACGTAAAGATAAAAAATTATTCCACTCGAACCGTGTCCAATCATGTGCTAAGTAACGATAAAAAATAACGCAGTTACCAGTAAAATTATCCAAAAAAAAATTATAACTGTAACTTCGTTACAAGTAACGAATTACTTTCATTCCCTGGCAAGTTTTTTCTGCAACAAGTGTGCAGAGAAATTATGGGTCAGGTATATATATAAGTTGTGTTAAACTGTTTATATTTTGCATTTTATAAATATGTATATAATAAACTCAATTATGAAACATAAGATTTATTTTTTGTAACACTATAATTATAATAACAATATAAAGATTGGCGTTTTATATTAAAATAAATTAAGCATAATATTATAGCATAATGAACTAAAATATCTTAAAATACAAATGAATAATCAATGCATCGACTTAACAAATTTTTCGAATAGCTAGCTCAGAATCATCTTATAACTTTTTCTTACAATAATGACGTAAAATAATAAATGTTCGTATAAATACAAAAATATATTTATAACAATGTAATAAAAAACGTAAGTTATCAAAAGACACGATAATATTTCTAACAATAAAAAGAAGCGCAGCAATATCGAAACGAAGACCACGAGTCATCAGTTGTAATAACGATGGTTATATGATAACAATTTATAAGGGACACATAATAAAAGATCTTTTTTGCTGTTTAATTAATTTTCGAAAGATTGAAATAAAGATAATTTATAATATATTCACTGTTTCAACAATTAGCAGTTTATAACATTTTTGACAATTTTTAATAATTTTTAATAAAAGAATGTTAAAATAATTATTTCTTAGTAAACAGTGCGTATCTTAAAATCAACGTTTTCATTTAACTTGCAATTTGAATCGCTTTCTTATTGAAGGTAATCCATATTTTTTATTCTCGATGTATTTAAGTTATCAAAACCTTAAATTAAAATTGTCAACTGTCAGGACTATGAGAGAGAGAGAGAGAGAGAGAGAG